GATCCCGACAGATAGGCAGACAGAATTCAAAAAGACAAGGATTCCAGGTAGGTAATGTAAGGAAAAGAAGGATGGAGCCAGAAGGCTGAGAAAAGAAAATTTAACGTGGGGGAGAGGAGTTCATTTATTCAGAGATGGATTAAACACCTATTCTGTACCTATTTTGTAAGCCTGATTTAGGGCATTTATTCTGTTTCTGCCCTCCTCAGGACAAAGATTCAAAGATTCACTAGCTTTAGCCTGTGGTAGATTCCAAAATACCTAAGTGGGACCAAAGCTCCACGTTAACAATAAGCTCAGCAATTCATGCTATGAAAGAGGAGGCAGCTGTGTTCCCCAAGTAGCTAAAAATCAGGGGACACACGTATACCTGTGGCCGATTCATGCTGATATACGGCAAAAACAAAAACCATCACAACATTATAAAGTAATTATCCTCCAATTAAAATAAATTAATTGAAAAAAAAAGTAGCTAAAATCTACTTCACCTACTTCTTTCTTCCAATAGGGAGGTCACATCCAGCCCCAGGAAACTCTACAGTTTGAACATTCTGATTCTTTAACGTTTGTTTCTAACTTCCAGTGGTTAGTCCTTCCTACCTGGTAAGTTTAACAAAGATCGGAGCACTACAACCAGTGCCAGCCAAGGTCCCCAGACCACCCCAAGTCATCCTACGTCTCAGGAGTAACTGCCCTCCTGTAGGCCCAGAGGAGACCCTTATCAAGAGATCCACACAGGCTTGGCCGATAGCAATCCCACTCAGGCCTTGGGAATATATGCTTGACGCTCCTCTGAGAACTGTTTCCCGAGCCCGCTGGAGGGCAAGCCGCAGCCACTCACCGAGCTGTTGAGAAGGGCATCGATCTTCTCCTCCTCGGCAGAGCCTTTGTCCACCTTGCTCCTGTACGCGAGCAACTGCTGACGATCCTTCAGGTCCCGGCAAGTCTATCACCAAGAGAGACGACAATAAAACCCCTGGTCAGCCTTCTCTAGAAGGGCCTCTTTCCTTCTGCCTCTCCCACTGAGCCAAGGATCCGAGAGAAGCCAGGGAGCTGCGCTGGGATGACAGTGGGGCTAAGCACCCACCAAACTTCACACCGAAGAGACGTCTGCAGAGGTTACATGGCTTGATTTAGTTCTATGAACTCTCCGAGTGCAACGAATTTACAAAACCAGAGAGAACCCAGTCAGAGAACTGGGCAAATCGTACAGGAGAGCTGGTCTCCAAACTAACTCTTGCCAGACCACACTGCACTGAGTGGAGACTGACATTAGCACCTCAGGATCTAGGCCCTGAGGCTGAAGCCTCCCACTGCCCACTGAGCTCTCACTCAGGGCTCTCATTTCTGAGGGACTCACATCGATGACGACATCATGACACTTGAACTTGGTGGCTAAGTTCAACTTTGTGTCCACATCTTCCACCAGATTGACATACTCCTGTAATATCTGTGAAAACAAGTACTTCTGATTAGTGATTCCCAGCCATATTAAACCCAGAGTTCTGAAAGGTAGTGAAAAAATCCTGAAGAAGGCAGAGAGTCAGTGCCTGCTGTCTACAATTCCCATCATGAACCACAGGACTAGGTCTGCAATGGCAATGAGGTGGACTTTCTGCAGTAATCCACGTTCTCCTGAAAAGGAAGAGAAGGGCTCATCCTCCTCATCTTGGAGCCAGACCCCTGTGCCAGCAATAGGTGTGCCCTGGGTTTGACCCCACGCTGCGCCCCCTGCTCTTTGATGGCCTTTTTCATTAAGTTCTCCTGTATCATTTGAGTAGTATGCCTCCCTCTGGCTGAACACAGAAGATGCTGCTCAGAGGAGGTGGTGTGGGATCATACTTCTAAAGGCTGAGCAGAACTTTCTTCCCTGGCCTTTTCTAGGTCAAAGCGCAGTACAACCATTATGTTGCCTTTAGGATAAGACCAGAGCAGGTCAAGTCTCCCGTTGCCAAGCAGTAAGAGGCTGAAAGTCAGGTCTCCTAGAAGACCTTGTACCCAACTCTCTCTGGGAGCCATTACCTGAACAGGGGCATTGTTCCTGTGCAAAATTTCCACAACCCGATGGAAGCCAATGGGTGCTCTCTTCTTGGTGTAGCCCAGCCAGTTCTGAAAAAGAGGGGGTGGCCGTGGGCAGGTCAGACAAATTCAATACACGCTGAGCTAGTCTCTCTACATTTTGTGGTAGGACTAGCATAACACGGTGGCGAGAGTGGATGAATGGGAGGTAGGGGAAAGAGAAAGGAAGAGAGATGAGAGTTTCAGAAAAGTCAAGGAACTCAGGAGGGTGGAAAAGAGTCAGAGGTATTATGAGTTCTTAGCTCGAATAGGCATGAATGCAGAAAAGTCTGAAATACAGCTAAATGAAATAAGCAATTTCCTTAACAATACTTGCATTGATAGTATGAAATTCTCTGGGTAGAATAATCCTACCCTTTACATCTTTATATTTATATAAATGTTTATTTGTAAATTCATAAAGAAAGGTCTGGAAAGCTACCAGTCAAACTTCTCACAGTGCTTGCCTTGAGGAAGGGACTGAGAAAGGAGGCGGACAGTGGAAGAGGAACTTCACATTTTACCCTCTCACTTTCACAGCAGGTTGATTTTGACACAGACATGTACTGGTTTCATAGTTAACATTTTGAATTAAATAACAAAGGCAGAAAACAAAAAACTGTCAAACTCATAATGGAAAAATGGATATTTAAACTGCAAACCAATGAAGACATGACAACTGAATGGAATGCAAGATCCTTGACGATGTGGACAGCAAACAAAAACACAAAACAGCTCTAAAGAGCTAATCAATTTATAATATTCTTTTTTTTAATTATAGGATAATTACAATACTGTGATGGCTTCTGCCATACATCAACATGAATCGGTCACAGGTATACGTGTGTCCTCCAATTCTTGAACCCCCTGATAATATTCTCACATTAGTGTTAAATTTCTCGAGAATGGNTCACCATCCAGCTTAAGAGCACTAGATTAACAGGTATAAAGTATTTCCCAATTTTTTGCTAATCCTATGATTGTTACGATCGTGTCCACCAATGGGTCATTAAGGTCGCACCTCTTCAAAACAACTTGTTTAAGTATGCACAGGTAACTACCCTCTGCTGCTCTGCTCTAGCCTGTGGGAATCCATGTGAAGCTCTGGGCCTCTGAGCAGAGCCGCTCACAGCAGCAGCACTGGTCCGGCAGATGCGTTCTGGGGCCGGCCTGCTCACTGGAAGCCACACGAACCCTTCCAGGCCTCTCTTCCCCTGTGAACGCTTCCCAGGTGGACTGCCAAGAATGATGTGCACCCCCTGTCAACAGAACACGCTGGAACAGGCTCTGAAGGATGCCCCTGTGCAGTGAGAACGCGTGGGCCTTTCTCCCCCGTGTGGCCCGCACCTCAGCCTCCGTGTAGTGGTAGAAGCAGGAGTAGAAGAGCGTCGTCACCAACGGCATATTGAGGATGGACGCTTTGCGGGGGTGCTTCCGGAAGACCTCAGTCTGTCCCGCTGATTCTAGATGCCGATCGTTTGCCTGTGGTGGAGTGAGCCAAGAAAAAAAAAAAAAAACAGTGTCTGCGGAGTGCAGGCAGGAGAGAAGCCTGTAACACTAAAGCGGATGTCTTTCCTACCCTAGGAAAGAGGTGAAGAGGAGAAAAAGAAAGAAACTGCCTAGGAGAGCCCTGAGGAGCTTAAGATCCAGAAAATGATGATCTAAGTTGGATGGAGGAAGACCAGAGAAGTAGTGATGAAACAGAGCTCTGGGATGAAGAGGAAATAGCTCCAGGTTAAAAGCAAGTGAGAAAAGAAAAGATGCCTGGAGACAATGGAGGGAAGGCCACCAGGCAGAGAAAGAAAATGAAAGACTCTTAGAAAGGTTAACCGGAAACGACATATGTGGGCAGAGCGGAAGTCTCCTAGCTGCTGAATGGCACACAGCTTTGGCACTGAAGCAGAAAGAATAGAGAAAAGGATTCTAACCTCGATAATGATCTGACGTTCCAGGAGTGTGTAATGGTCTTGTATGTGGGCAGAATCTTCTGCTGAAAATGGCAAACTGGGAGAGGACAAGAAGGTTAGTACCTCATTCTCTACTCAAACAAGAAACACACCCAACTAATCCAGGTCACCACTCTTAAGTGTAAGATGCTCATGGGGCTTCACAATTCTGATCTCTGCTCCCTTTAGAGCATCTGTGAAAGGCAGAGAGAAAGCAGGAAATAAAGGCGACCTCTGGTCGGGATTTTATACTTAAGGTTTTGCCAATTAGACATGGAGCCTTCAAGTCCACGAAATACATACAGTCACTAGTGATTCTGCTCAGGTGTGAGGCGGAATCCCCTCATTGTGGGCGGTGCAATGACTGATGAAAGCGTTGCTCAGCCAATGAGTGCACCGAGCCAACTGCCCATCATCCACATCCTGCGGAGGCTCAGCGGTTCGGGTCACGCCTAATGTCAATGCTGAACTGTCTTTCAGGGGCACTTAAATGTTGGCCATTTTTTAATGTTAAGTAATAGGTAAAACTCAAGTTATAGAGCATGGCAGTATGTTTGTGGATTGGTAAAGATCTCAAGAGTTCTACATGAGGTCAAGGGTCCCATCTTTAACACTACATTATATCCTTCCACATGAATAAGTTGACGGACAGTGTCTTGCCTAAGTCATTTGGCAAGTCAATGGGTAAGGCCAGGAATAGAAGCCAGATTTTAAATGCCTAGTTCCCAGACCTTCCTTCAGGAAGTACTGCCTTATTCCTCTACTCCACTCACTCCAGCAAGAACTCCGAAATGCAATTACACTCTCCCAGGGAAGTGTGAGCCCATGGCCAATTTTTAGAAGCAATAAAAAAAATAGCAAAAGGTTCCAGTTACTTCAGTATTCTAACTTCTCTCTTTGTTTACTAAAGGCCATACGACATATTGGTTCAGTAGCTGCTAAAGTTAAAAGTAAGGATTGTACTGACATAAATTTCTAAATGAGAAACCTCGCAATCATGTCACATAAGGAATGACTGAAAGAACTGTGACCACTGAACCTCAAGTAAGTCTACTGGGTGGACTCTACACCTGTCTTGAAAGATAAACGGGGGAGCAAGTTTCAGCTCAGCATAAGGAGGCACCTGCAGTAATAAAGCTGTCCAACAGTGAGATAAACAACTTCCAAGAGCCCCACCCCCGGCAGAACAGTGCACGGGGCTGGTTTTCACAGGGACTCATACTCTTCATAAAAGCTGGACTGAGTCAGTAGTTCTTGGACTGTGGGGTTTCAAGGACTGGTAACACTGAAAACAATATATAAGTAAGACATTGCCAATATTTTTCTTTTAATACATTAGGTCACACAAAAAACTTAAAACTCATTTTTCTACCAAAAAGAAGTTGGGGGGGGTGGGTGGATCTCGGAATAAAACGCAGTCTTTCAAATTAAATAAATTTAGTTTTAAGAGAAAGTTCTCTACACTGTCTTTATTTTTCTCAGTTTATCACCAATCAGTGAAAACTACGGGGGAATAGTGTTTGGAACCACTGAATGAGATGATCTTTAGTCATATTTGTATGACCCACTGTTAGCCTTTCCCTGCAATCATCTATCCATTCTACCCTCTTTTAATCTCTTCATTGTTCGATAGTGAAAAACATTTCTCCCCCACTTACCCAATGCATGTCTTAAGAAATTCTTTTCGTTTCTCGGGGTCCTGAATGTTCAAGTGCTCTCGATAATGGGACAGCTACAAAAAACAGAGAAGAACTTTGAGCTATTTCTTTTCTTCAGAAGGGTGAGGTAGTTCTGTCAGTAGGTTTTCCATGCTTGAAAGCTAAACTCTTCATTACTAGAGATTCTTCTGGGAATAGATGGCAGAGGGGGCGGGGAGAAAAGTGATTCAAAATTATTATCTCTAACTGCATTATTCAATACAATAGCCACTAGTTTCAAGAAAAAGTTCTTCTTAGGAGACTGTCCTATTCTATGAGGATAAACTAAAAGCAGGCTATCGGGTTTGCCAACTCCAAGGTTTATAAGGTTGGAAAACTCCAAATTCATATATAACAGCATGCATGATAAATCACTTTCAATTCAAACATAACAGAGAATACGAAGAAAATATGAAAGCTTTAAATAAAAATGAGTTACCCAAAACACATTTACTTTCACTGATTAATCAAACCTCAAAACAACGAACTATATGAATGCTATCTGAAGAAAATTCCTTATAGTTTTGAACCTATGGAAATTAAAAATATAAACAAAAAAGCTTTTCAAAATGAGTACTACAGATTCCTAATCATTTTGAAGAGATTAAGATAAAAGGTTTTGAGATTTTCCCACACCTTGAGTATTAAGTACAAGTTCCTTTTACAAAATGCTACTGAAAAACATTTTCCTGAATTATACTCTGGTGTGCAAAGCTTAAAAATATATCACCACCAATGTGTGGTACAGTGACTAAAAGAACAATTCTGACATTGATGTCAACGAGAATCCTTACCCTTACACGATAATGTCAAACCTTTTAAATAGTTTATTGAAGTTTTAATAAGAAAGTTACATTTTTTTGGTAAAATTTCAGGTTCATTCTTATATTACAAGAGTTTCATCTACAACGGTGAAAATCTGTCCAAAATCAACTTTAACACTTAAGTCATTGAGCTCTTAGCCAAAATGTATATTAGGTGCCCTGCCAGCAGCTTGATGGATCTTCCTTCATGGCCTGTTTCTGATTTCTTATCCCTGTTTGCTTTCAAAATTGTCTTTGGTATTAAAAGCCAACACCCCAAAGCTCCTACAAATCAAGAACTAAAAACAACTAGAAATTAAGAGACAAATTCCAAATTGACCAGGCCAGTTTTCATTCTGTTATTTTTTTTTTAATTTATTCAGAAGCCCAATCAAAAGAGCATATAAAAAGACCCAAAACAGTACATCATCTGGATTGTTCCCAGGCTTCCCAGATGCCCCTGTCTCCTAGATATAACCAACACCAAAAGGGGCTACTCTCTAGCCCCCGCGGTGTACGGACATCTCACTGCGGAGGCTTCTCCCGGTGCGGAGTACAGGCTCTGGGAGTGAGGGCTTCAGCAGCTGTGGCGCACGGGCTTAGCTGCTCCAGGGTACATGGGATCCTCCCACACCAGGGATGGAACCTGTGTGCCCTGCACTGGCAAGTGGATTCTTAACCACTGGACCCCCAGGGAAGCCCTATTGTTTTCAGGTACAGCATACGATGCATTTTGTCTCTCCCCAAAGATGGTAAGACCTTGGAGAACAAGGACTTTTGTCATCTGATTCCTTTTTAACTTTGCAAGGACCACTATAATTAACATCACTACTTTGGCATAGAGGTGATGCTTAAAAAAAGCCTTGTTGGTTCGGAGGGAAGGAAGGAAGAAAAGAAAGAGGAGGGGAGGGAAGAAAGGGTTGGGGGGGATCAGCACGTCTTGAACACAGTTTCTGCAAATTCCTGGCTAACCATCTCTAATCTTGACCCTGACCATGTGACCTGCTCTCTCCACCTGAGTCTTCGGGAAAGCTCATCACTCTGCGGAAGCCACTAGGTAAATAAAGTTACCTTGGGCCACATGTCAGCCTAAACAGAGGCTCCACCCCCTGCCCTGATACTGAAGAAAGGACATAATATACTTGTTTTAAGCTAAGAGTGGGAAAAAGTCCCTAACAACTGAAGTGAGATAGAGAAGAAAAACATGGCAGAAGACAGCTGCCCCCACTGCGCACCCTCTTCCCCAGGCCCCCAGCAGACATGCCTGCTTCTTGCATCTCTACCCATCAGAAAATGACCTAGAACCCCACAGGGCCCACTCAATTCCTAATCACTCCCATGAGGTTCTCCTCAGATATCCTGATTGAAAATTGTATTTGCTTCTGATTTGTCATTGTGCTTCTCACTGGCATCACCAGGGACCAAGTAAAAAAGGCATCTTCAGTCTCAGTCTTTTCTAAGAAAACAGTTAATAAATATTAATACCACAGACTAGGCATTATGCTGAGCGCTTTACACACATCAGCTCCTTTCACCTTCATAACGACCTGTGGAGTAGGCAACATTACTTCCATTTTATAAATGTGAAAACTGGTGCTTGGAGAGGTTGAGGAACTTGTTCAAGGTCATGCTTTGAACTAAGTGATGGAGATAATATTCAATACAGGCGCTTGACTCTGGAGCCTGATTTCTTAACACAGTCACTTTATTACAGGCTGTGGTGCAATATTAGTTATCCCATCACATTTCTTTTTTTCTTTCTTTCTCTCTTTTCAGTCATGCCACATGGCTTGTGAGATCCTCGTTCCCCAACCAAGGACTGAACCTGGGTCCACGGCAATGAAAGCACCAAGTCCTAACCACTGCCATCAGGGAATTCCCCCATCACCTTACTATATTTTGTCTAATAAGTGTTTTGAGAAAAAAGGGGCAGTGCCTTCTCTTTCTTTGTAGTATCACCCAGAGTGTTCTGAACTAAGTACTTAACAAACTTTACAGACCAGATTATCAGTTCTTACCTAAAGAGGTCTAAAAGCAGCTTCTGATCACCTATCTCCTTAAGGAAGTGAATGAGATGTCTCAGGGCAACCTGCCGCACCTCCAGCTCTCGGAAGAGGATCTCTGGTAGGCAGGAAGAAAGGAGTTAGATGGGGAAAGATTAAAGCCTATTGCTCAACGGGAAATCAGCACCCCCCCCCCCCAACTCACACATTCTTAAGATGATCTCCTCAAAGTCCATCAGAAGCTAGGAATGGTTTACGATGGTGCCCACCCCTGGCTCAACCCACCGGCAACACCCTCCAGGGTCCAAGGCAAGGCTGAGCCTTCGTGTTAGCTTTCAGTTCTCACCAACCCAACCAGCAGGCTCTGAGCATGGACTTTCACTTCCTCAAACCAACACAGTCATCTGTCTGTGCAGTAAATGAGGGGCTTCTTAATTACCATAGTTATCACTCTAAAGGAGGAACAACTGCCCTCAGGGGAGGGATGTGTACTCTGAAGTCTCAGGCCCCCCAGGCTGTCCTGAAAGTAGACCTGATGCTGGTGAATTCTGGTATTAAAGCCACAAGACCACTCTCCTTTCAAGTGTAGCAGACATCTTACTGACTAAAGATTTCCCTCAAACCACACTTACCTTTACTCAGCGTCCTCTTCAGGAAGATCAGAACCTAGAGGAAAAGAGAACCCAGAATGAATCACCCTATGTAACCTTCCAAACACGAGGCCCTGTCTGAGCACCTGATGACTAGGAGTGAGGCCAGCAACTCATCAGGAACCTTGGCAGGTCCAGACAAGGTGTTTCTCTATATGATGAAAGGACAGGTGATGGACATATGGAATAAGCTCTGTCTTAGAAGTCCAAATAACCTTGCCCCTTATGGCAAGAGACAACTCCCTCCCTCTCTGAGAGGCTGCTGCTCTCACATCTCTCTGCCTTCAGATTATTTTTGAGGATATAAAGTAGCCAACCTACCACTTCTGGGTCATAATCAAGAGAGCCATACACAATGCATGTCCTGCCAACTGAGCCTTTAGAACACGTACTTCTGGGAATCTTCTACTTCAAGAGAAAATCCAGTGTCTCTACTTGACATTAAAGTCTATCCTATGGATAACCAACAAGGACCTACTGCACAGCACAGACAACTATACTCAATATTTTATAAGAACCTATAGGGGAAAAGAATCTGAAATATACATATATTAATACATATAACTGAGTCACTTTGTCATACACCCAAAACTAAAACATTGTGAATCAACTGTATTTCAAATAGACAAAGATATTAAAAAAAGAAAATCTATCCTGATTGGACTTTCAGAAACTGATGAAAACAATAATTAAAGAACAAAAGGCACAACTCACTGCAGTAATGACGTTTCCATCATGCATGCTTACTGCTTCTTCTAGGAGCTGGATTTTGTCCTGTAAGGAGCGGAACCTTTCCAGTGACTCTTCAGGAAGATCAGAACCTAGAGGAAAAGAGAACCAAGAACGAATCACCCTATGTAACCTTCCAAACACGAGGCCCTGTCTGAGCACCTGATGACTAGGAGTGAGGCCAGCAACTCATCAGGAACCTTGGCAGGTCCAGACAAGGTGTTTCTCTATATGATGAAAGGACAGGTGATGGACATATGGAATAAGCTCTGTCTTAGAAGTCCAAATAACCTTGCCCCTTATGGCAAGAGACAACTCCCTCCCTCTCTGAGAGGCTGCTGCTCTCACATCTCTCTGCCTTCAGATTATTTTTGAGGATATAAAGTAGCCAACCTACCACTTCTGGGTCATAATCAAGAGAGCCATACACAATGCATGTCCTGCCAACTGAGCCTTTAGAACACGTACTTCTGGGAATCTTCTACTTCAAGAGAAAATCCAGTGTCTCTACTTGACATTAAAGTCTACCCTATGGATAACCAACAAGGACCTACTGCACAGCACAGAGAACTATACTCAATATTTTATAAGAACCTATAGGGGAAAAGAATCTGAAATATATATATATTAATACATATAACTGAGTCACTTTGTCATACACCCAAAACTAAAACATTGTGAATCAACTGTATTTCAAATAGACAAAGATATTAAAAAAAGAAAATCTATCCTGATTGGACTTTCAGAAACTGATGAAAACAATAATTAAAGAACAAAAGGCACAACTCACTGCAGTAATGACGTTTCCATCATGCATGCTTACTGCTTCTTCTAGGAGCTGGATTTTGTCCTGTAAGGAGCGGAACCTTTCCAGTGAGCAGACCTGCCAGATAAGAATAGAACTGGTGTTCAAGGAAGAGGACCATTTCCTATATTCTTTTGTCACTGGATGCTGAGGAAGAGTGACAATGACCTGAAATATCCCCACGGCATGCATGCATGCTCAGTCTCTTAGTAATGCCTGACTCTCTGTGACCCATGGACTGAAGACCGCCAGGCTCCTCTGTCCATTGGATTTTCCAAGCAATAACACTAAAGTGGGTTGCCATTTCCTTCTCCAAGGGATCTTCCTGACCCAGGGATCAAACCCAAATCTCCTGCACTGCAGGCGAATTCTTTACCACTGAGCCACCCGGGGCTTCCCGAGTGGCACTAGTGGTAAAGAATCCAGCTGCCAATGCAGGAGATCCAAGAGAAATGGGACTGGAGGGGACAGCAGGGGACTGGCCATCTGAGGCCAACTTTTACTTCTTTTTAATTAACTTGTTTACTTATTTGTGGCCGTGGGGTCTTGGTTGCTGCACGCAGGCTTTCTCTAGTTGCGGCGAGCGGGGGCTGCTCTTCCTGGCAGTACACAGGCCTCTCAGCGCAGTGGCTTTTCCTGTTGGGGAGCACAGGCCCCAGACTCGGGCTGCAGCAGTGCCGGAGCGAGGGCTCGAGGGCCGGCTCGGCAGTTGTGGCACACGGGCTTAGTCGGGGCATCTTCCCGGACCGGGGATCAAACTCGTATCTCCTACATCAGCAGGCGGATTCTCAACCACTGGACCACCAGGGAAGCCCCAACTTGTTCTCTTTTTAATGAGGCACAATTTATATCGTATAAAATCTACCCTATTTAAGTGTACAGTTCAGTGAGTTTTGACAAGTAAATAATCCCATGTTAACTATTACCACAATCAAGATACAGAACATTTCCATCACCACAAAAATTTATCTTGTCCATTTGAAAAGGGATCTTACTAGCAGATATTTAGGTTATTCCTGCTTTAAAGGTTCTAATAAATACAGTTCCTATGAACATCTGTGTATAAGTCTTTGTAAGAACATATTTTCATTTCTCCTGAAATGTAAATGTCTATTAGTGATTAAATTAAATGTGTGTTTAATTTTGTCAGAAACTGTTAAGACTCTTTTGCAAAGTGGTTTTACCACTTCACCTTCCTGTTTGCAGCATGTGAGAGTTCCAGTTGCTTCACATCCTCCCAATGCTTGGTATGATCTGTATTTTTAAACTTAGCCATTATAGTGACTGTATAGTGGTATCTCAGTTTTAATTCATTTTCCTGATAACTGATAATGTTGGTCATCTTTTCACGTGCTTATTGGCCATTCACACAGCTTTTGGTGATATAACTGGTGAAATCCTGAATTGATTTTTAAATTTGATGGCTTAATACTGAAGATACTTCATTATTTTTTACATACATATTCTGGAGAAAACACATTATAAGATGTATTTTACAAATATTTCCTCCCAGCAATGGTCTTTTTGTGTTTTTAACAGTGTTTTCAAAGAACAAAACTTACTAATTTTGGTGAAGTCCATTTTCCTTTTTGGTCTGATGATTTTTGTATGCTTGGTTAGTAAGTCTTTGCCCAACTCAAGATCACAAAGACTTTCACCTAAATTTTCTTCTAGCTTTATAGTTTCAGCACTTATTCTACTATGATCCATTTTAGCCCAATAATCATTATGATATCAATTCTCCCAAAATTGAAATACAGATTCAATGAAATCTCAGTCAAAATGCCAGCAGCTCTTTTGTAACACTGACAAGCTAATATGGAAATACACAGGGTCTAGAATGGCTGAAGTAATTTTGGAAGAGACGAATAAGGTTGAAGAACTTACATGACTTGATTTCAAGATTAACTACAAAGCTACAATAATCAATGCCTTGGTAATGGCATAAGTATAGACCCCAAAAAAATCAATGAACTAGAATACAGTCCAGAAAGAGACCTACATATATATATGGTCAATTCATTTTCAACAAAGGCACCAAAATGACCAATGCAGAAATGGATAGTCTTTTCAACAAATAGTGTCAGAGCGAACAGAGAACTATATGGGAAAAAAATGAATGTCCATTTGTATCTCACACCATATATTTTGTATTAACTCACAATGGATCACAGACCTAAACATGAAAGATTTGCTCTCTCTCTCTCTCTTTTTTTTTTAAAGACTCTTTTGCAAAGTGGTTTTACCACTTCACCTTCCTGTTTGCAGCATGTGAGAGTTCCAGTTGCTTCACATCCTCCCAATGCTTGGTATGATCTGTATTTTTAAACTTAGCCATTATAGTGACTGTATAGTGGTATCTCAGTTTTAATTCATTTTCCTGATAACTGATAATGTTGGTCATCTTTTCACGTGCTTATTGGCCATTCACACAGCTTTTGGTGATATAACTGGTGAAATCCTGAATTGATTTTTAAATTTGATGGCTTAATACTGAAGATACTTCATTATTTTTTACATACATATTCTGGAGAAAACACATTATAAGATGTATTTTACAAATATTTCCTCCCAGCAATGGTCTTTTTGTGTTTTTAACAGTGTTTTCAAAGAACAAAACTTACTAATTTTGGTGAAGTCCATTTTCCTTTTTGGTCTGATGATTTTTGTATGCTTGGTTAGTAAGTCTTTGCCCAACTCAAGATCACAAAGACTTTCACCTAAATTTTCTTCTAGCTTTATAGTTTCAGCACTTATTCTACTATGATCCATTTTAGCCCAATAATCATTATGATATCAATTCTCCCAAAATTGAAATACAGATTCAATGAAATCTCAGTCAAAATGCCAGCAGCTCTTTTGTAACACTGACAAGCTAATATGGAAATACACAGGGTCTAGAATGGCTGAAGTAATTTTGGAAGAGACGAATAAGGTTGAAGAACTTACATGACTTGATTTCAAGATTAACTACAAAGCTACAATAATCAATGCCTTGGTAATGGCATAAGTATAGACCCCCCAAAAAATCAATGAACTAGAATACAGTCCAGAAAGAGACCTACATATATATATGGTCAATTCATTTTCAACAAAGGCACCAAAATGACCAATGCAGAAATGGATAGTCTTTTCAACAAATAGTGTCAGAGCGAACAGAGAACTATATGGGAAAAAAATGAATGTCCATTTGTATCTCACACCATATATTTTGTATTAACTCACAATGGATCACAGACCTAAACATGAAAGATTTGCTCTCTCTCTCTCTCTTTTTTTTTTAGTTCTACCACTTTATTGCTACCAACCCATCTCCCTCCACGCTCGTGCACACATGCTCAGTCATGTAATCCCATGGACTTCAGCCCGCCAGACTCCTCTGTCCATGGACTTTTCCAGGCAAGAATACTGGAGTGGGTTGCCATTTCCTTCTCCATGCTCTCACTCTTAAAGGCACTACTTTTCCCACTCATCCATCACTCTTTTCCCACTTCCCCATCAAAACAACACTAAACCCTGGAGAATTAGAACTTTTGCAGCTGAACTGCCATCTTAGTGGAATGATTTTCCTCCTGAAAATCATTTCATTTAACAAAACTGAAGAGAAAGGCCAAGCTTCTCAGCTTTCAAAACAAAAAAATCCCAATTCCACAAGAACTCTTTCCCCAGGGGCCTTACCTTGCCCTTCCGGAGGCGCCGCACTGTGTCACTGGGGCCCCAGTCATTGCTGTAATCCTGGAATATTAGCAACGCACAGATTATAGGAGTTAAAGGGTCAGATTTCAGAATTATCAGTGAGTCAGCTCCTCACCTCATGCATACAGTCTTAGTCCCTCGAGGGGAAGTATTTTGCGGAAGAAGATGGATGAAAAAAAACAAACTAGGATGGTCTAGTCCTGAGTTTCTTAAGCAACCAGGACAGAGATTTTATAGGTGGGAGGAGTTGGATCAAAGAGGGAACGGATCAACTGACAAATCTGGCAACCTACATTACGTGGTTCGGAATTTCAGCCAATAGAGGCAGTTTTGGGACTCTAATTAACGGTTTTGCCAACAGAAGGAAAGAGAGAAACGTGTTCTTTTTTTGGACCTTATGATACTGTTTTTTCCTTTTCAGTCAATTTGCTTTTTCATGTGCTTCATGTGACTATGAGCTCCACCAAGCTTCTAGACCACAGTGATGATCAAAAGTTTCAAAGCACAACCTAAAAAACGGCTGTACAACGGATAAGGGATGTACGCCAGTGCTCAGTCAGAAACTAAAACTTTCGAGTTCCAGTTCTACCATGTAACTAGCTGTGAGACTCCTGGCAAGCTCTAATGTTTAGAGATCCAATTTGCTTATTTCTAAGAGGGGTTTAAATAATACCTGCTCAAAGGTTTGGGAACATCAAACAAGATAACAAATGTCTAAGTACGGCAAACTGTGTAAAGTGTCATGACCATCGTAAGCTATAACTCACCCTGTACTCCCCCTTGGGTCTCCCCAGCTCTGGAGCATAGCTCTTGGCAGGTGTGTCTGACAGAGCTGAAAAATAACAGGCAAGGGACTGATAAGGACACCATCTTCCTGCCATTCCTTTCCTCCACTGCCTCCTCCACGGGACCCACGAGCTCTCGAGGCATCTTTATGGCCCAAAGTAGGGAAGCCCTAGTAAATCTCAGTTCCTACTCAAAGACAGCATCCCGAGATGCTACCCTTTGACCCCACAGCCTGAATGTTCTCAACCAGCTTATTCAGCATCAGAAAATTCCTCTAACAACGATGACAGATTCAGAAGTGTCATCATCTAATTATCACTTGTCCCCATGACTCCCCATGCTGTACGCCAGATCAGTAACATCTCCCGCAGTAACCAAGAGAAGAGACTCCATGCCTACCATCAGAGAGGGACTGGAAACTTCCAGGTCTAGTTCTCCCTAAAGGTAAAGAACACACAAGGCCAAGAGTTAAAGTCAGAGCCATCCAGACTCAGTTTAGGACGCAGTGCACACAGAACCTTTTTGTGAAAATATGAGAACTTAAGGCTTAAAAAAGCTTTTATTCAACTTCAGAAATTTGAGGTATCATGGAAATAAAAGGCACTGAGCAGCTTTTTCTTTTAATTGTGGTAAAATACACCTAACATAAACGCCACCATTTTTAAGGAGGATACAGTTCAGGGATACTAAGTACATCCACCCTGTACAATCATCACTACTATCTATCTTCAGAACTTTCTGATCATCCCAAACTGAAACTGTACCCACTGAACAATAACTCCCTTTTATCCTTACTCTCATTCCCTGGTGACCACTGTTCTACTTTTGAGCTCTATCTATCTGACTATTCTAAGTATCTCATAAAAATGGAATCACACAGAATCCTTGTATGTCTGGCTTCATACACTCAGCATACGGTCCTCAAGGTTCATTCATGTTGTAGCATGTATCCGAACTTTAATCCTTTTTAAGTCTGAATAATTGTCCATTGTATGTACATGCCACATTTTGTTCATTCATTCATCAGAGAATGGACATTTAGGTTGTTTCCATATTTTGGCTATTCTGAATCATAGTGTATAAATACATGTTTAAGCCCTTACTTTGAATTCTTTTTGGTATATACCCAGAAATAGACTGCTGGATCATATGGCAATTCTACGCTTAATTTTTTGAGAAACTGCCAAACTGTCTTCCACAGTCTTCCGGTGTCTTCTACACACAGGCTGTACCATTTTACATTCCCACCGGAAGCGCACAAGGCTTCGCAACAGAAATGCACAGGGGCAGGGAGGAATTCTGACCTGGACCAATTTCTTCAATATGCATCACAAGGTTAATGTCCAATTTGTTTACCATGTTTTAGAAACCCAGTCCAACCTCTCTGAATTTCCCTTATCTCCCCCCCTTTCTATTCCCTAACGGCTAGCTCCAAAGATTTTTATACTTCAGTATCTTCTCTTACAGAGTAAATGAAAATCACAGCCTTAGTGGTTTTTCGGAAAAAAGAAAAGGACTCTGCCCCTTTAACCATCACTCTTACCTCTAAAAAAGCTGCTCAGAGAGTAGGTAGAAGCAGGTTTGGGTAGTTGTGCATAGGTGGAGAAGCTGTTTCGGTTCTTCAGCTGTTCACGCTCATGGCTTGACCCGCTATTACCAGCAGTCTCTTTGATGGACCATGAGATACCTGCGAGACAGTAGGATGTAAATCAGTCATTCTCATCCAAACTAATGCCATCACATCCAGCATTCCAATAAACTCTAAAGGCTTTTCATCAGAAGTCCTGGTCTCTTGTCAACATGGACTTAAAATATTGGGGCAGGGAGAAAGAACAGAATCAAACAGACCAATCAACAGAGAAAGGGGGCAAAGGAAATGAATAAATGGATCAAAAAAAAGGAAATACAAGTTGCTATTAAACATGAAAATGTGTTCAACCTTCCTCTTTACCAGCTGAACCGCAAGGGAAGCCCCTTCAACCTCACTCTTAATAAGAGAATTACACACATTAAAAGTACACTTAGGACTTCCCTGGAGGCCCAGCGATTAAGAATCTGCCTACCAATGCAAGGGGACACAGGTTTGATCCCAGGGCCAGAAAGATGCTACAAGCCATGGAGGAAGTAAGTTCACGTGCCACAGCCACTGAAGACCGTGCACCTACAGCCCAAGCTCTGTAACAAGAGAAGCCACTGCAACGAGAAGCCTGTGCACAATCAGTGAGCAGACCCTGCTCGCTGCAGCTAGAGGAAAGCCCCCGCAGCAACAAAGACCCGGAGCAGCTGAAAATAAATAAGTATTTTTAAAAAGCACCGTGAGATACCACTTGCCCCCATAAGATTGACAAAGACCCAAAAGTTTGAGAACACCCTGTGCTGTCAAGGCCGTGGGGAAAAAGGAACACTCTGACACTGCCAGGTGGGAGTGCAAGTTGGTGCAACATCTAACCAACACAGATGCAAATAGCCTCTGCCAGCAATTCCGCTCTAGGAACTGAACTTTCAGATACTCTTACATGGGCAAAATACAAGGTCACTGACAGCAATATAAACAACAAAAGATTGGAAACAATCTAATGCCCATCAACAGTGGACTGGTTACATAAATTATGAGAATTCCATACAGTGTATACTATGTTGCTGTTTTTAAAAAGGGAGAGGCAGCATGAGAAAACTTGTAAAGATCTTCAAGCTATATTGTCCAGTGAAAAGAGCAGGGTATAAAGTATGCCACCACTTGTGTAAAAAAGGGGGTTCCTTTTCCTATATGTAGTTCCACAAGCAGAAAGGATCTCTAAATGAATACACAGGAAGCAAACAATAGCAGTTGTTTTGGGGGGCAGGCAGGGCCTGAGAACTAAGTAGATGTGTGAGTGTGAAGGAAACTTTTCTCAGTACGTCTTGAATACTTTTTACTACAGCACACCTTGAATACTTTTTGCTTTTTAAATCATGTGACAATATTTCCCATTTAAAAAAAACAAACCTTTAAAACTATGCTTAAAAATCAGATGGACCTAGCAAAGGTGTTAAGTGGCATTACAGAACAATTAGGCAGTGAGACTTAGTGGCTAAAGAAGTCAGTTCTGACAGGCCGTTGTGAGCATTTAAGTCAGCAGTTCTCAAATATGACTGCGTATCAGAACATTTGCAGCGCTTATTGTCATTTGAGACTCCGCCCTACCCACCACCCCACACCCAATATCAATAGCAACTGAAGCAGAGTCTCTCAAGTGAAGCCCAGGAATCTAATTTTAATGAGCACGCCAAATAAGTCTGAAATAGCCAGCCAAACATTAGCCCTATGACAGCAGACCCAGAGAGCCGTATGGAAACTGCTGCCATATTTCCCCAAGTACCCTCTCCTGTGTTAAATTTCCAGATGTATGCTCATCTGAAAATAGCTTAGCCTCATTCCCTATCCTAACAAATATTGAGGAGACTTTATGAGTGGTAAGAACACTGAATAATTAATCCCTTCCCGGGGCCTTTTGTACTTACTTCCCACAGGTTCCCCGGTCCAGCTGACTCTCTCCAGGTCATCTTCATCATCATCATCCACGAAGTCTCGAAGGCTATTCACTGCCCGCTTGGATTCCTTTAACTGCAGACAGACATCAGGACGGGCTCTCAGGCCATCACTACTTCTCACCTCTCCCTCTGACAGCCAAGAAGGCTGAGGAACTTGGACTTGAGAATGGCCAATATTTTAACTTTTCTGCCATCGAAAGCCTAGCCCACTAGACTTTTGCCAAGAAAAGAAATGGCTATTTAGCCAACACTGGAGTCCAGTGGCAAAAGCTTAGGAAGAGTCAAAGCCGCTTTTGAATTCTAATCCTACTCTTGGTATTGACTTGCTTTGTAGAGAGTTTATCCATCTCTCCAAAAATGAATGTTTCCCCCACTGGTGAAACAGACACGAAAAAGAAAAAATTCCTAATCCAGTTCATTAGGGCTCTCAGAAAAAAAAATGAAAAAAATGAATCATCTTAAGCTGGAATCAAGATTGCCAGGAGAAATATCAATAATCTCAGATATGCAGATGACATCACCCTTATGGCAGAGAGTGAAGAGGAACTAAAAAGCCTCTTGATGAAAGTGAAAGAGGAGAGTGAAAAAGTTGGCTTAAAGCTTAACATTCAGAAAACTAAGATCATGGCATCTGGTCCCATCACTTCATGGAAAATAGATGGGGAGACAGTGGAAACAATGTCAGACTTGACTTTTTGGGGCTCCAAAATCACTGCAGATGGTGACTGCAGCCATGAAATTAAAAGACGCTTCCTCCTTGGAAGGAAAGTTATGACCAACCTAGATAGCATATTAAAAAGCAGAGACATTACTTTGCCAACAAAGGTCTGTCTGGTCAAGGCTATGGTTTTTCCAGTGGTCATGTATGGATGTGAGAGTTGGACTGTGAAGAAAGCTGAGTGCCGAAAAATTGATGCTTTTGAACTATGGTGTTGGAGAAGACTCTTGAGAGTCCCTTTGACTGCAAGGAGATCCAACCAGTCCATCCTAAAGGAAATCAGTCCTGGGTGTTCACTGGAAAGACTAATGCTGAAGCTGAAACTCCAGTACTTTGGCCACCTCATGCGAAGAGTTGACTCATTTGAAAAGACCCTGATGCTGGGAGGGCTTGGGGGCAGGAGGAGAAGGGGACGACAGAGGATAAGATGGTTGGATGGCATCACCAACTAAATGGGCATGAGTTTGAGTAAACTCTGGGAGTTGGTGATGGACAGCGAGACCTGGCGTGCTGCAATTCATGGGATCACAAAGAGTGGGACACGACTGAGCAACTGAACTGAACTGAAGAACGTAAAGGAAGAAGGGCAGAGAGTTAGCTTTAACAATTCCTCTCTTTCCCCAGGGTTCTTCTCCATGAAGAGTCTTCTAAAGATCTGACTGAAAGCACTGCTGAGCCTAATGAAGACAGGTTACCGAGGATGCAAGGAAAAGCGTACACAGTAGAAAGGGATGAGAACTTCAGCAACTATTCACGGAAACCTACCTGTGAGAGCTCATCATCTTCATCATCAAAGGTGAAAGCCTTGAATTTGGAGCTATTCCAATACTCCTCCTCATCACCCTTTGTCCGATTCATCTGGAGGGAGAGGAAGAGAGATATATACTGTATGTCTCTTTCTGGATTCCCCTCAAAAGAGCTCCAAAAGCTCTGGGTTCCTGGACTACAAACTCCCTGCTCTAGTCAGGGATGCATGAAAAGTGTCTGGTGAAGAGAATACTGAAGAGGCCACATAAAATCAGATCCCTGGGTCTCCAACCAATCCAATCACACTTTTGATTGTCTGATAACCCACAAGTAGTCATTCATTCCTAGAGCAGCTACTTTGTTCACAACACTATCTCAGGCACTCTGTCAAGTGTTATATTACGTAAGGGATATCTGAAGTACAAAACACAGTCCCTCTCTGAAGGACCCTACAACAGAGTATTGAGCATATACCTTTTCTAATTTGTACACTCTCATGCGTGCTAAGTCACTTCAGTCATGTCCAACTCTTTGCAACCCTATGGACTGTAGCCCACCAGGCTCCTCTGTCCACGGGATTCTCCAGGCAAGAATACTGGAGTGGGTTGCCATTCCCCTCTCCAGGGGATTTCCCCAACCCAGGAATCAAACCTGTATCTCTTAGGTCTCCTGCACTGGCAGGCAGATTCTTTACCACTAGCGCCACCTGGAAGGCCCCAGTATAAGTATGTATAAAGGTAAAAGTTCAAACCAGGCACCTGTTACAAGAATGCTTCATGAACTTTGCTGAATACACAAGGTTAATCAAAGCATGAACAAAACAGATAGTAACTACATTCACGGACTCAACATGTATCAACATGTTGCATGCCACCTCTCAGGCCCTGTTCAGGCTCTGGGAATACTGCAGAGAATAAAAACTCACAGACATCTTACTTTTGCATGTGCTTCTTGAATTCCTGATGGCAAGTAATCAACTAAAGGAAGCTGAATTAGCCTGCTTGTAACTTCAATTTCAAATCATGATTAATTTAATAACAAGTACTGGCCAAAATTTGGGAAACGAGGGCATGGCCAAAGAAGGAAGTCTATAAAGAATCAGTCAAAACACGACAAGTCCCTCTCATAACTACTCTAAAATTAGATTTCGTCCTGAAAAAAAGTTTTGCCTTAGAATCACAAACTAAACTATCCATGCCAACTGGATTAGAGTGAAAACTGATTTAAGCCAAGAACCAGGTACCAAATTTTCCAGTGCCAAAAATAACTGCAAAGGCTACAAAGAGTGCAATTCTAAAGGATGAATTTGCTTTTTCTATTTCAATAGCACCTTTCTCAATAAAAGTTTAAGAAACACTCACCATGACAGACCCACTGAGACTCCCAATGGCCTTAACACACTCTGCCCTCACGCAGTGTGTTGTCAGGGGATCTGGGAATGGCAGAGCAGGCTGAGAATTTTTTACCATCTGATCCTTCCCCATGGCAGATATCACTATCTGATTTCTACTGAACCCAAACACAGCTTAAAAATCCTTTTGTATACTCAATGCAGTGAGTAAAATCATATACAAAAGCTAGAAGAAAAAAAAAATCATCCCTTATATTGCAACAAGCATAGGCTCTGTAGTCAGGCAGACTTGAATTCAAATGTCAGTCTCTCCAACTCTCAGCAACCTGGGTAAATAATCTTACTTCTAAGCTTTGGAGAAAGTGACAGAGGACCTCACAGGGTTGCAGTGAAGAATAAACAGGAGTCAAGAAAGAGCAAACAAGAGTCCCCAGTATAAAGTAAATACTAAAGGCTGGCTCCTTTTGTATAGGATATCTTCTGCCATCTTTCTATCTCCGCCATTTGTAAATATGGGACTTAACAGAAACATACCTGGTAAGACTGCTGTGAGGCTGAAGCCAGTGAACCACAGAGAAAATACATGTGCTGACACAAAAATTTGTTTAGTATTAATTTTTATTATTAATAAATCAGTATCTTAGAAAAAGCTATAAAAATATTTCTAAGCATGCCTAAAGTTTAAAATTTTGATACAAAAACTCTGAGTAGCCATCACAAACACTGAAGGTGTCCACAGAGCAGGTAAACGTCTATGGTAGAGGTGACAGTTTATAAAGCCTCAGAACAACTCTGCAAAGTAGGCCTAGCAGATTCCATTTCACTGATGAGGGAAATGAGGCACAAAAGGATTAAGTACCAAAGTTTTTAAGCTAAAGCTAGTTGCTCCTATCCGGGTTTTCTATCTACTGGGTCATTTCCACTCTGATTTGCATCGTCCTTTTATCACTCGAGGGAAAACTGAGGGCAGGCCATTACTACAGTATCTCACAGATAGGCATAGAATGGGTCTTAACAAACCCTGTAATAATCCACCAGAAGATTTCTAGAGTCTTTTCTTAACCATGCAAAGGCAGTGGACGCTTCACACTAATCTGTACTTCTAGCGCTTGTCATAAACTTTATTTCCTTAGCAAGTAAAAAAGACAATGATTTAATGGTTCTAAAATTTATAAAGCAATCAGGTACAATTTTAAGAGGGGCTGAGAATGTGCTTCAAAATTGTTTAAAACACTTCAAAGGCTTGTGCCTGTCACTTGTTTACTGAGATCCCACCATACAGGGCAGATCTGAGGGAAGAGCAGGAATACGACAAAGGAAGGAAAACGACTCGGCCAAAAAATATCGACAACCAACACGCTCCCCGCCTGAGGACGCCGCAGAAACCAGCCTCTGAGAAGTTAGATTCGGACTCATTTATCATCTTTCGAAGCCAGGCCTACACAAGTGAGGTGACAAACTGAGACGAGGAAATGCGGATTAAACTAGGAAGACTCTGTGGGCGAAGGGTCCAGGAAACACGGCTCCACCACAGAGGCCAGAGCCCAGAACCTTGGTACAATAAGTGCTTGTTCAAAATCAGTTGTCTGGGCTCGCTCGCGGCCCCAACCCCGAGTGCAAGCCCAGGGATCGCCAGAAATGGAGTTAACAGTCAGGCCAGGGAGGTCGAGGGACGCCTCAGACAACGAGGGGAAAGGATACAGAGGCGGAGAGGCTGGACTCGGCCAGATACGCAGCCCAAGGGGTTTGGGACACCCTCACCTCTTCGACACCGAGCCCTCCCTCTCAGGTAAGCGTCAGACTCCGCCGCCGAGGGTCCAGCCTTTCTACACAGGCTGTGCGGCAAACAAAAGGGGCGGAAGGGGATAGTCCCGAGAGGGGGCGGAGGGCTGGGGTTGGGGTAGGAACCAAGGGTCGAGACAGGCGCCGCAGGGCATGCTGGAAGTTGTAGTTCTTTCCGCCCCTACAATCAGGCTCTGCCCTCACAGGCCGCGGGGGGCCTCTTGACTACAACTCCCAGAATCCTCAGCGCCCCGTGCCTAAGCCCGTTTCCTCTCCTTTCAGCTCGACCTTCCGAGGTTATCCCGGGGGTCACTCGACAAGACTACAACTCCCGTGAGGCCAAGCAGGGCCGATGAAGGGTTTAGGGAAACAATGAAACGTGTCCTGTGTGTCTCTGTGGGTGAGGAATGGTCGTGTGAGCTGTCGCCTTTCGGGCCTTTCAGGGCATAACTCGAAGGACTGTGAAGGATTCCTTAGGACAGAAGCGAAGGTCCGGCGAGAGGCAGCCGACGTACCCGGCGGGAGGGAGGCGGAGCCGGAAGTCAAGGCGGGGAGGGGCGGGGGGGGGGGGGGGCAAAGGGCGGGGAGGGGCGGGGGGGGTGGAGGGAAAAGCAAGCCAGGAGGATCTTGCAGCTTCTTCTAGTAGTTTCCAGGAGCTGCCGGGCAGCCGCGACCGGGCTGTCCTGAGGCTGTGGCTGTGGCTGCTCGGGAGCTGTTGGCGGTGCGATAGGAGAGCCGATGGCCAAGTGGGGTGAGGGCGACCCACGCTGGATCGTGGAGGAGCGGGCGGACGCCACCAACGTCAACAACTGGCATTGGTGAGGGCCAGCGGGCCAGGCCGCTGGAGCGCTGCGGCCGGGCCGGGGGTTGCGGGGGGGTGGGCCCTGGAACCTTAGCCGGGACACTGCTGGGGTCGAGGCAGCCCTGCCTGCCAGGAGATGGGCGTGGGTCCTTCCTGTCTGCAGGGGTCCGTAAGTCGCAAGCCCCTCCAGCCTCTGACCTCCGTTTCATTGGGTGGCGGGGAGGCCCGGGGTTGGGGTCGGGGGACGACGTAGAAGGCTGCATTCCAGACGAGGGGGTTTCACATAGGAGGACTTAGCCCTCCCCCGGCTGCTGCATTCAGCCTGAGCGGAGAGATGCTTCTCACACGTGGCCGGAGGCGTCATTGAGACCCAAAACTGCCGTGTATAGTGTTGAGAGATTGCAATGTTAGGCTCGAGAGGGTTGGAGTTACTGTTTTTTCGATTTTCGGGTGGAATTAAAAGTCAGTCATAAGGGATCGCTGCCTCACTCCAGAAAGCCAGGTCTTAGAACGTGTTGTGCAGGTGCTCAGAGCTGAGTGATGCTCCAAGGCTCCGTGGCCTCTCACCCGGAACTGTTAAGTTGGTTGTATCGTCGCTCCAGGAACTGCCGCTGGTTGCCGGGCAATCATGGTTTATAATCCAACTACTCTTAAAAGCCTACTCTCTTTCATGAAATCTTCTGCAAGTAATATTTTTTATTCTTTCTGAGTCCATTGAACTTTGTACGTAAACTGTAGTTTTACTTTGTTGTAGCTCATCTTAACTGTTGTTTTCTCTACTAGTTAGAAAGTAGATAGTTTTCCTTCGTATTTCAGCCTGCTTCCTCTCCTCGTAACATAGAATGGGTTGACTTTAATTTTTGTTTGTTTTGAAACCCTGGTCTTTCATTGTTTTCAGGGCCATTTGAAGGGCAAAAAAATTATAACACAGCGTGAATTTGATAGGTCAACACACTGCGCTAATGAGATCAAGATTATTGGTTTATTCTTAACTGGACCTTTTGGCTCACTGCGTTCTGTGGCCCCCTTGTGTGCTGCTGACCTCAGAAGCGCAGTTTTCCATTTGGTCAGACGGGGGCGCCATGTTAAAGTATTCACTACTGGCCCCAGCACCATCATGCTGAGAAAGAGAGGAGAATTTTCCATTAAGTTTGAAACCATGCTATACAGCAGTAGTCCTTATTGACAGTATAGGACTCCTGGTCTTCCTGAAAGAGTAAGGCGTTTGTAGACATGGTGGAGTGGGGCTGAGGGTTTTGTGTTCTTTTCCAGCCTCCTGTAGCCTTGGGTGCTCTTGCATAGAGCAAGCAGTGTATCCTTCATTCGGCTGCTGGTCCATAGCTCTGTTTCTGTTTTGCAGGACAGAGAGGGATGCTTCGAACTGGTCCACAGATAAGCTGAAAACACTGTTCCTGGCTGTGCGTGTGCAAAATGAGGAAGGCAAGTGTGAGGTGACAGAAGTGAGTAAGCTTGATGGAGAGGCATCCATTAACAATCGCAAAGGCAAACTTATCTTCTTTTATGAGTGGAGCATCAAACTAAACTGGACAGGTAAGTCTGTGCTCGGCTTTTAGGACAGGGGTTAACGGCATTTTGATTGACCTGTTCAGGAGCCAGGGAGAACAGTTTTTGAGAGGTTATGAACTTTTTTCGAGGGGGATAGTGCTGCTTTAGAGTCCTATAGGAAGCAGTATCCAATGTTGAAATTTTCTGTCCATTTCTGCAGGACACTAAATGGGTTTCCTCTCTGTGGGTCTCACAAGTCTCTACTGATGTAGCAACTGGGCTGCTGAATCTTTGGGCCTTGTCCTGTTTGGGAGCATACAATGTGACATTTTTCAGACTAGCTATTTTCTGCCTCTTGGATGACTTGAAAGTAGGCTATGGGAGTTTTTGGCTTTTGTTTTTTTAATTCCAGTGTGAACCTAATAGTTTAGAGTGCTGTGGTAATGCTGCTTGCATGTGATTATAACGGGCTGGTTTTATTCTCTAGTTTAATGTCTCTTTTGTGAGCGTATTAGGACAGAATTGGGGCCATCCTTGGATGGTCCTGACAGGGAGGAAAGACGGTAGAGTTAAAAGAGTACATGTATGGGGCAAAACCTGGAAACTCTTTTCAAGTGAGTGGTCACAAAGAGGCACAATGTATTTTTGTCTTTTTTTTTTTTTTTAATTAAAACATAGCAGTCTGAAAGAAACCATAGGTGTCGTCTTTTCCAGCCTCCGTTTTATAGATGAAGAAACTGAGGCCTAGAGAGGTAAAGATAAATACATGTTAACTTTGAAATACAGTCAGTTCTGCTATAACGTGACACGTGTTTCTAAAATTCACCACACTATGCAGAATCTTCTAACAAAAACCACAGGGCTTGTAGGGAAGATAGGGTTAGGGACATGACAGAATACTCAAAAGCTTCATCAGTGATATTTAAATTTAGGAATGTAAAAATTGGTGGCACAGTTTACACATATTAAATCATAAGAAATACATAAATCATTGGACAAATATTGTGCTTTACCTTGACAAAAACCTGAGGTTTGCTTGTGGAAGTGGGCATCAGGAGCACTGAGGCACGTGGGTTATTGTGAGGTGCTGGAAGGAGAGTCACGGGAAATCAGAAGGAGCATTATGACGCCGGTCGTGGGTGGTGTGGCTCCTAACACACAAGGTGAACTGAGGTCACTGAGGTCACACTGAGACGTGTGTTTTGTGTTTTCCTATACAGCTGTGTTTAGGTTTCTTTGTGGATGAAAGTGCATATAACCAAATATGAAATTCGTGTTACAATCAAATCATCACCTAATATACCTATGGCATTGGAACAAATTTGTATTTTCAAAACAAGCGTTTTAGCAAAACTGCCAGTACTAGCTATTAACCCACGTCCTCCTCAGCAGAATCCATGCTAGTGCTGAATTCACGTAGCTGTTAGTCTCACACTGGTAACACAGTTAGTCCCCAGAAATCTGATGAGAAAAGACATTTCAGGGAGTGGGGGCAATGGCTGCATCTGGTGTGGCAACCACCTTCTCTCAGAATAAAGAAGGTGGGTTCAGCGTCCAAAAGAAGCATAAGGAAAATAGTGGTTAGGCGTCCGGAGCAGGAGACTTAGCCTGGAGAGGAGGAGACTGATAATACTGTGTTACTTTTGACAGGTACCTCCAAGTCTGGAGTGCAGTACAAGGGCCATGTGGAGATCCCCAATTTGTCTGATGAAAATAGCGTGGATGAAGTGGAGGTTTGTGTTTTCTAATTCCTCATCTGAGTCTTCCACATCCTCTTATTCTCAGATGAGAAGAATGACCTGTCATTCAAGATTACAGACCAGGCTTGGCCTAAGGATTCAGAACCCCGGTCTGCAGACGATTTTCTGGGTCTGTGGTGCCATTAGGAGCTTCCCGAGCAGTTTATGCTTATTCAGTTACTTTGCTTTAGTGAGTGGTGAGAGTTGTAACATTAGCCACTTTTTTCTTGGCAGTAGGTGGCAGAGAGACCTCGAGAAGAAACACTCATGGGGGTTGTACGAATACCTCACCGTCATGCATTTCCTTTGCAAATGTCAGCAGTTATCTGACTGCTCAGCACCTACATCCTGCAGTGTGGGTGCCTCTCAAGCTATTTACCACCTACTTCTGATCTTTCATTCAGATTAGTGTGAGCCTTGCCAAAGATGAGCCTGACACAAATCTCGTGGCCTTAATGAAGGAAGAAGGGGTGAAACTTCTAAGAGAAGCAATGGGAATTTACATCAGCACCCTCAAAACAGGTATCCTTTGAGTAGTTATGAGTGCCTTGAGAAGATAGTTTTCCATCTGTCAGATGCTAATTAAGGGGCTTGACAGTTCTTTCTTTAGTAAATGAGTAGAAATTTGGGCAGAGGAGGCTTATTTCATCTTGAAATCAGCCTGTAAAGTTTGAATAAGGGAAAGATTCAGAGCTGTGTTGTCTAGTGCATTGGCTGCTGAGGACGTGAAATGTGGCAGTCCAGCTTGGGCTGTGCTGTGAGTATAAAATACGCAATAAATTTTGAAGACTTGGTATTTTTTTAAAAAAGAAGACTATCTCAATTATTTGATACTGACAACACACAAATGATAGGATGGATATATTAGGCTAAATGTGGTCAAAATTAATTTCACCTGTCCGTTTTAACGGTTTGGCGTGGTTACTAGAAGATTTAATGTTCCATTGAGGCTGAGGTGGTATTTCTGTTGGACTCGCTGATCTAAAGACCCGGAATCTCCAGATTGAGCACTTGAGCACAGTCCTGGACTATCTTTAGGCTTAGGTGAATAGTAGTCCTCTCAGCTGTCCCCCAGAACTGCAGCTTTGGCCATGTGGTACGGTCTGGGTGTCGGAGTACTGATGGTGACCATCAGAGGGAGCCAGTGTAGAGGTGGGAACCAGTGCCCTGATGCCCTAATAGTGTGGCTGTCCTACAGAGGTGCGGCAGAGTGGAGAAGGGGCCTAAATGCGCAGCTGCGATCATCTTCCCCACTCTGAAGGCTTTGGAAGTGCCACTGCATTCATTGGCTGCCAGCTGTAGTAGACCTCACACACATGTAACAAGTTGTGCTGCTTCTAATTGAGTCAGGGGTTTCAGGTAATCCCCGTGACCATACTACATTCTGTAGGATGCACTCAGGTACCCATCTGGCAAGGATCAAAGGGAAAGACGTAAGATGGATAGACGACGACTCTTGTTGTCATTACCTCCTCCTGAGTTAGGACAGCCATGTTTGTGAGCTACAGTGAAGCCCCAAATCTCAGCTACTGAGAAAGAACTTCCAAGAGCCGGATTTTGTCTTTTCAGAGTTCACGCAGGGTATGATCTTGCCTACAGTGAATGGAGAGTCAGTAGACCCAGCCGGGCCGCCAGCACTGAAAACCGAGGAGCGCAAGGTAACCGGTATCCCTGCGTGGTGGGGCGGGAGGCTGTCTGGAAGGGGAGTTGAGACACTGCCTCTTCCTTAAGTCTTTATCTCAGCTCTTTCTCTCCCACCCTAACCTCTGAGCCAGAGGTGCTGCTTTTCAGGGTCCACAGAATGTAGTTGTCTGTAGCCCCATCTTTAACCTGGTTTTTATTCATTTATGACAGACCCCTAGAGCAAATGGAAGCCATCAAGCCATCAGGGGCTTCAGAGTCCAACTCTTGGCATTTAACACCAGTGAGGAGGTTATGAACACAGGTTCCCCTGTATGCATCTAAAATAATATATGGACATTTCATCCTTTGATATTAAAGGTCTCATCAAAGTATCAGAAGTTACTTAGGTCACTGACTTCACCTAACAGGAAACTGACTGAGTTCATCCCATTGGAAGGGAGAACAAACTTTTTTCTGGAGTTGGCGCTTGTTTGGTTTGGCTTCAGCACTTGGTTTTCAGCCCTCTTGCCCCTTTGTCAGCACTCTGAAGAATATTCTGGGGGTGCTGCTTCCAGCTATTTTAATAGACATTCTGCTTGAGGATTACACAGGACTCTTCAGAAGTACATAATGATTTAGTGTGTCCTTTGGCAGTGGGCTTTTAAATAAGCATCACTCTCTTTCACCCAGAGTGGCATTGAGAGTTTGCTGAGAAAGTTCCCCTCCTGACAGAAATGCCCATGCACATAAATTTCCTCTGACCCCCTGTAATAATTTAGCCTTGGAGGTGACAAGATTTGTGAGAATGAATGGCAGTGTGTCCCTGCAGCCCTGTGAAGTGAGGTCTCACCAGTACTCTATAAACTGACAGTTTCACTGCCACTTCCACAGGCTAAGTCTGCTCCTTCAAAAACCCAGGCCAGACCTGTTGGTGTCAAAATCCCCACTTGTAAGATCACCCTTAGAGAAAGCTTCCTGACATCACCAGAGGAGCTCTATAGAGTTTTTACCACCCAAGAGGTAAGTATAGTCCTGTCCTTCCAGCTCCTGGCGTCTGCCGTTCCAGGTGACTAGAGTTGTGGGCACATCCTCTCATTGTGCAGAAAAGTGCTGAGTGGAACCACGAGGCTGTCCTCATTCATGAAGAGGCAAAGGAAAGAATGTTTGTTCAAGCCACCACTCATCAAAGTGGATTTGCCTTTTTTTTTTCTTCTTGTACTAGTTTTGGGTCCTGTAAGTGGGAACAACTGGAATCATTCATGTTAGAAAAGCAAATGGACCCAATGTAATGGCATCCTGGATTTAGAAAGAATTACTTGGTTGAAGCGTGGTCTCTGCTGGAACAGAAAAGAACCTGAAGCTGGTTCTTGGGCAGAGTAGTGTCTTTGGAATTGAGAGCTGAGGCACACAGGTGTCAGCTGGCATTTCTCCACGGTCCCCCTGAGAGCCACACATCTTCCTACCTCCTTTTTTTCTGCAGCTCGTTCAGGCCTTCACCCACGCTCCTGCTATGTTAGAAGCAGACAAAGGTGGCAAGTTTCACCTGGTAGACGGCAATGTCTCTGGAGAATTCACTGATCTGGTGAGTTCCTGCTAGCCAGGAAGACTTTTATCAGCTTAGAAGAATAATGTGTCCCTCCCTCCCTGCTCCCCGCCTTTTTCTTTCCAGCTCTGTAGATAAAATTTAAGACTAATCTCTTGGGTTAGTAAAAGCTCATTTTGTTTTTCAAAGGAATGCTACAGTTGGACTCTCTCACCTTCCTATAATTTTTTCCTTCGTGAGGTAAAATTAGTTCTTCTGGGAGAAAGCAAACATCGAAAAGAGGCTGACCTCTCTGATTATTTCAGGTCCCTGAGAAATACATTGCGATGAAGTGGAGGTTTAAATCTTGGCCAGAAGGTAAGCAAGCATGTTTGTTCAATGCCTGCCTCCAGAACCCTTTCTTTCCCCCCCTCGCCTCAGGCCCCTATGGAAACCCTGATCTGAAACCTCCCTCCCCTCTGCCTTCCCCCAGGGCATTTTGCCACCATCACCTTGACCTTCATCGATAAGAATGGAGAGACTGAGCTGTGCATGGAGGGCCGAGGCATCCCCGCCCCAGAGGAGGAGAGGACGAGGCAGGGCTGGCAGCGGTACTACTTTGAGGGCATCAAACAGACCTTTGGCTATGGCGCGCGCTTGTTTTAGGCCCCGCAGCGGGGGTACAGCCTGCCCAACACTTGAGTCCAGCCCTCCCTTGACCGGGGCTGGTGACTCACAGGACCGCACCATCCCAACCACTAACCTGGGGCTGGGGCCCTGTCCCTTCATGTATACCTTGGGTTTGTGCATGTTTTCTGCTGGGTGGGAACAGAGGGTGATTTCTCTTTTATGTGTACATACGCTAAATAAACGTAATTTAAAAAACATGCATGTCTGGAACCTGTGTTGATGGGGTGGCTGGTATTAAAGAGTTCCCCTGAAGGTTTTGAATTTAAAAAAAAAGGGTTTTGTCCCCTTCTGGCTAAGTGTACATAATCAAGAGGCATGAAGGGAGCCTGCTTCTCACCAGCAAGCATTCCTGAGCTCATGTCCTTTCATACTGAAGACCCGCAAAAAAGGGCAGTGAAATGTAGCCTGGTGGGGGTGGGGGTGGTACTTTGTGGTAAGCAGTACCAATAAACTCCATGGCTGGTGGAGGTGGCATTCTGGGGCTCCCACTCCCCATGGCCTCTTACCCTCTTGCAAAAAGATCACCAGGCACTGGTTTGAGATGCAGACAGAGATTCCCCATCCCGTGGGTCTTGTGTTTCTATTCACTGAGGTTCTGTTTATTGAGCAGTTTCTACGTTCCAGACACTGCACTAAGCAGTTTCCTTAGAGTAGCTTCATTAGCCCCCACAATCACCCTGTGAGATAGATACTACCACCATTTCTGTTTTACAAGAACCTAGTCCTTATATTTCTTAATTGATACCCCAGATCCTACCACAGATAATTTAGCAGAGTTGGGGTTTGGAACAAGAACTGAAAACTGCAGAGCCAATGCTCAAGTCCAAACTTGTCTACTGCCTCGTCATTGCATTCATCCCCACAAAGAAGCAGCTACATTTCTAGCATATTGGGCATCCCTCCTGGAGTAGGACATTCCAGACCTATTACTACCAGAAAGAAGAAAAATTGAAAATCCTTGTTAGAGTATTTTTAAATACCTGGTTCCATTAAACAAGCTTACTGAGCACTGACCAAGTAGGGTCAGTGCTACTGACCTTAGTGGGGTCCAGGCTGCCGTGTTCCAGGTAGGGATAAACTACCTACATGCATGTGTCCCAACTTTTTGCGACCTTATAGACTAGCCTGCCAGGCTCCTCTGTCCATGGGGGTTCTCCAGGCAAGAATACTGGACTGGGTCACCATGCCCTCCCCCACGGTATCTTCCTGACCCAGAGATCGGACCTGTGTCTCATGTCTCCTGCATTGGCAGGCAGGTTCTTTACCACTAGCACCACCTGTGAAGCCCAACTACCTGCATAGGGAGGGTCATTTCCTGGACAAGCCCCACCCCAGTGAGAGTCAGCTTCTGATCCAGACACCGTCCCCTGCAGCTACAGCTATTTCCTTCATCTATTTTTGCCTGTTTTATTAAGTGGCATGGATGCCTGCAGGCTAATCCTACCAATATGAGCTGGTCAAAATGTAATTAAAGCAGAAAGTCAGTACTGGTCTGGATAATACAGACCTCCAAGATCCCCCCGCCCCCTGACTTGAATTACTCAACAAGTGCTGGACTGAAGCAATCTTCGTCTAATTGGGCATTATGTCTGCGGCCTGGGGGTCCAAAAAGTACTTTTATAAAAAATAAAGTACATGGACTGTAGCTTGAATCAAATTAAGAATTCTGTGGAACTGCCCTGGTGGTCCAGTGGTTAAGACTCAGCATTTCCAATGCAGGGGGCACAGGTTTGTTCCCTAGTCAGGGAACTAAGACACCACATGCTATGTGGTGTGGGAAAAAAACAAACACAAAAGGACCCCCTTCTAACACAGAGACCGGTGACAAAGAAGGACCGCTTTCACACCTGGCTGGAATTCCATAATACCTAGGAAAATTCTGAAGCAAAGTTTACTAATGCCTTAATAAAAATCGAAGCACCAGGCAAAGTAGCTGTCAAGTGAGAGCTCAGCAACATTCACATCCCCAGTACTGATGCTGTTACAACTTCCGTCCCACTGACAGCATTCTGGTTAGGTATCAGAGCCTAAAAAGCAGAATGACAGAGCTAAAAACAAAACTTTGGACTTGGGTTTGAATTTTAAGTGTCACCACCTAACAAATTGGACAAATTTCCTCATCTGTAAAATGGGTATAATAGGTAACTATGAGAGCATTAGGGGCTTCCCAGGTGGTGACAGCTGTAAAGACCCCACCTGCCAATGCAGGAGACCTAAGAGACGTGGGTTCGATCCCTGGATCGGGAAAATCCCCTGGAGAAGGGCATGGCAACCCACTCCTGTATTCTCGCCTGGAGAATCCCATGGACAGAGGAGCCTGGTCTACAGGGTCATAAAGACTCAGATACGACTGAAGCGACTGAGCACTCATGAGAGCGTTAGAGACGAACAGAGAAGCTCTGGCGCCTGGTAGCACGTTACCTGGGGACTCCCTGGTAGTTCAGCTGGTAGAGAATCTGCCTGCAGTGCGGAAGACCTGGGTTTGGTCCCTAGGTTGGGAAGTCCTTTACCTGCTGACTTCTGGGCTCCCAGGCCCACGTATTTTCCTTTAAGCAGGAATTGATCTTTTAAAAAGCCGGTTAACTGGCCAAATTGCAAATCCTAGGCTAAGGGTTCACCGCAACTGAAGTACCACCTGATAGGAACCTGTTAAATGCGGGAGAGGACTCTACCCCAGTGATTTGTCCTGGCTGTGGGGTGTAGCCTGTGAGCTTACATTTTAATATCCCAGGTGACCCTGATGCCAAGGATGGATTTTGAGGAGCACTTCAACATGTTAAGAAAATCTAACTGTAGTGGAGGAAACAAGGAAGCACATCTGGGTCCCTTTTGTGAATACTGAGACAAAGGAGCTGAAACATCCTGTCTTCCGAGACACCAGGACCATCAGCAGGATGTGGCAGGCTTGTACTGTGGGTTGTTTTGAACACTGGGTAGAGTTCAGTGTGACCAGTCCTGCCCAGCCTAGGACCCTTTATGAGGTAATCCAGGGTCGGGGAAATGGGGCAAAGCCATCCAGGTGGCCAAGGCAGCTAAGTTAGCAGCAGCAGTGGTGTTCTTGCTGGATGTGTGGTCACAGATGGCTCCCGGGGTCCAGGACAGGAATAACAGCCAGGTGAGCTGGGATGGCCTACAATGCACCAGAGCCAGGGAGGGCCCTCTCTTTATTTCCTGGGCCCCTCCTGGCTTTGACACCAGCCACTCCTAAAATCCTCCCTTTAGCAGGGTCAGTGACCCCTCTGCACCTGTTTCTCCTCACACACAGGTGTTCCCTAAGCCGGCAGCCACCTGCGCGGTGTCTCTTTCTCCTTTGTACAGTTTGAAGAAACACTGTTTTATAGCTGATCAACACCCCAGTCCCTTCAAAGCTCCTTTCCAGCCCCCGTTTCTTTAGTTTCTCTCATCTGTGGCTTGACATGGTAGCAATTTAGAGTGTCACTTAGATTACAGATTTAAAAATGGGGCTGCATAATTGCCAAGCTTTAGGTATAGATTAAATTTAGATAGTGCATTTTAGAGTCAAGGTAAATTAGAAAGGAGAGGGATCCGCATTCAGTTCAGTTCAGTCACTCAGTTGTGTCCAACTCTTTGTGACTCCATGGACTGCAGCACTCCAGGCCTCCCTGTCCACCACCAACTCCCGGAGCCTACTCAAACTCATGCCCATTGAGTCCGTAATGCCATCCAACCATCTCATCCTCTGTCATCCCCTTCTCCTGCCTTCAATCATTCCCAGCATCAGGGTCTTTTCAAATGAGTCAGCTCTTTGCATCATGTGGCCAAAGTATTGGAGTTTCAGCTTCAGCATCAGTCCTTCCAATGAACATTCAGGACTGATTTCCTTTAGGATGGACTGGTTGGATTCCTTGCAGTCCAAGGGACTCTCAAGAGTCTTCTCCAATACCATAGTTCAAAAGCATCAATTCTTCTGCACTCAGCTTTCTTTATAATCCAACTCTCACATCCATACACAACTACTGGAAAAACCATAGCCTTGACTAGACAGACCTCTGTTGTCAAAGTAATGACTCTGCTTTTTAATATGCTGTCGAGGTTGGTCACAGGTTTTCTTCCAAGGAGCAAGCGTCTTTTAATTTCATGGCTGCAGTCACCATCTGCAGTGATTTTGGAGCCCAAAAAATAAAGTCTACCACTGTTTCCATTGTTTTTTCATCTATTTGTCATGAAGTGATGGGACCAGATGCCATGATCTTAGTTTTTTGAATGTTGAGCTTTAAGTCAACTTTTTCACTCTCCTCTTTCACTTTCATCAAAAGGCTCTTTAGTTCTTCTTCAACTTTCTACCATAAAGGTGGTGTTATCTGCATATCTGAGGTTATTGATATTTCTCCCGGCAATCTTGATTCCAGCTTGTGCTTCCTCCGGCCCAGCGCTTCTCATGATGTACTCTGCATATAAGTTAAATAAGCAGGGTGACAGTATACAGCCTTGACGTACTCCTTTCCCTATTTGGAACCAGTCTGTTGTTCCATGTCCAGTTCTAACTGTTGCTTTCTGACCTGCATATAGGTTTCTCAAGAGGCAGGTCAGGTGGTCTGGTATTCCCATCTCTTTGAGAATTTTCCACAGTTTATTGTGATCCACATAGTCAAAGGTTTTGGCATCGTCAGTAAAGCAGAAATAGATGTTTTTCTGGAACTCCCTTGCTTTTTTGATGATCCAGTGGATGCTGGCAATTTGATCTCTCGTTCCTCTGCCTTTTCTAAAACCAGCTTGAACATCTGGAAGTTCGAAGTTCAGGTATTGTTGAAGCCTGGCTTGGAGAATTTTGGGTATTACTTTACTAGTGTGTGAGATGAGTGCAACTGTGTGGTAGTTTGAGCATTCTTTGGGATTGCCTTTCTTTGGGATTGGAATGAAAACTGACCTTTTCCAGTCCTGTGGCCACTGCTGAGTTTCCCAAATTTGCTGGAAAATTGAGTGCAGCACTTTCACAGCATCATCTTTTAGGATTTGAAACAGCTCAACTGGAATTCCATCACCTCCACTAGCTTTGTTTATAGTGATACATCCTAAAGCCCACTTGACTTCAAATTCCAGAATGTCTGGTTCTAGGTGAGTGATCACACCATCGTGATTATCTGGGTCGTGAAGATCTTTTTTGTATGGGATCAGCATTAGGTATAGATTAAATCTAGATAGTGTATTTAAGTGTCAAGGTAAATTATATTTGAAAGGAGGGGAATTAGTTTCCTGTGAAAACAGACTCTGGTGTATCTCTATCTTTTTTTTATGTTTCTGCTAAAACATAATTAAAACGTTCCTGAGCTAATCGTGGGCTTCCCTGGTGCTAATCCTATTAAATTCCCCATTCAAGAGACAGGGAAGTGAACTTGGCTCCCATCTAGGGACCTGAGATGCTGCCCTCTTTGATCCTGTAATATACTAGTTGCACCAGTGTTGTTAGATTGTGATCCCAGACCAGATTAACACACTTACCTTCAGGTGTGATGGTAACTGGAAACATCTGGCTCTCTGAGCTTCTCCAGGTAGCGGCTCTGAACACACCTAGTCTCATCCGGTTTCCTGATGTGACTTCCCCAAATGCCTGGAGTAATAGTGGAGGGTATGGTAAGGGTACCAACTAAGGCAGGGTATAGGTCCACCTCGGTCATCTTTTAGGTGTAGTCCTTGGGACAACTCTGCATCAGATCCCCTTGCGGCAAGATCCTTGGGGAAGTAGGGCCACTTCCTCTGGTGTCAATATAATTTCTCTCTCTGACCAAAGGACTCTGGATGTGCCCCTGAGGTCCTGCTAGCTCCTCCTTGCCTCTCAGGTAACCCTTTATGAGTCTGAGTAAAGATAACCTAACCGATGTAAGCTCTGCACCCCGGATCTCTGTCTGCCCAGCTGGGTTGTATGTGTGTTAAGTCGCATCAGTCATGTCCGACTCTGCGACCCCATGGACTGTAGCCCGCCAGGCTCCTCTGTCCATGGGATTCTCCAGGCAAGAATACTGGAGTGAGTTGCCATACCCTCCTCCAGAGGGTCTTCCTGACCCAGGGATTGAACCCTCATCTCCTATGTTTACCTGCATTGGCAGGCAGATTCTTTACCACTAGCGCCACCTGGGAAGCCCAGCTGGGTTAGGTAATTACAAACACCACTCAGGGAAGCTTGACTTAATGTCAGCAAGGGCTCCCTACATTTCTCTGCTCCACTGGGGACTCAAATTCTTTATCAGACAGAATTAGAAAACAAACCTCTTTGTTGCTGAGGTTCCCAGAGAGCTTCAGGGCAGCTGTCTAAGGGCTAGAACGGAAGTGACCAGCCTTTTAGAGGCTTTTGTGAACAGAGACAACTGGGACATCAGCATTTCAACCCCACAGAAGGCAAGGCAGTGTGGCTGCAGGGGGAAGAGGGAGGTGACGGTGAGGGGAGGCAGCGGAGAGGCAGGAGGTGCTGGCTGAGCTGATCACACACGTCTCTTCCCAGCTCTGAGCTCGTGCATTCAGTGACATCACCTCGGGAGCTTGAAGTGGGCCACAGTGGGTATGTTTACACCACAGAAATTGCCCAAACACTGTAAACCAGGGCTGTCCCCTAACACACACCGACACACCCACACGGAGAACAGACCTACCAGCTCACCCTGCACCTGACCCGTCCTGCATTTGTTCTGAGTCCTCCCCAAGCCTGACCCTGTGCTTAGTCAGGGCGGTGTGATCTCCCAGCCCCACAACATTCCTACAAGTTGGATAGAACAGAGGTGAGCTGGACAAAGTAAGCCCCCAGAACTGGTCGATCCCTGCCCCACCCGGGTATCCGGCTTCGTCTTGGCTGCTTCAGCCTATCCACTTTTGTCTCCACCGCGGACCTGCGGACCTTCGGCCCTAGGCTGAGGTGGTCTCCACTGGAGCCTCCATGGGAAGCAGCTCCGTGAGAGGGCTGATGACCACCCTCCCAGCAGGGGTGGGCAAGACGGCCAGGTGCCACTGCTCAGAGTCGAGGAAGGTAGCTGGCCCGGGGGCGGCGGCGGCGGGGGGCCGGCAGGGCTGGCCTTCGGGGCTGGGGCTTTGGGGGACTTAACTCAGGCTCCCGGAATCACTGCTGCATGTGGAGAGACAGGCTCAGCCCTGCTCCCAGGCCGAGGGAAGAAAATGGGTGGTCAGGCTGGGACAGCGCCTCCCAGCGGACGTGAGGGGAGTTTCTCCACAGACAACGCATTTCCCGGCAGTCCCCGCGGCCGGGGGGGGGCGGAGCTCCGACCTCCCCCTGGGCCTCTGGGGGCGGGGTTCCAGCCTCACCCTGGGCCCCTTACTCACCCTTCGGCTGACCCCACACCGCGCTGACCTGCCCGCCCCAGGTTCCCAGGCAGAGGGCTCGAGACTCCAGGCCTGCCTCACCAGGTCTGGGCAGAGGTGGGGCGAAGGTGGGGGGCCTGCGAAGAAGCGTTGTCCAGCGCGGCAGCCCCTCGTTAGTACTCCTTGGCTTCCTGCAACTGGGCCAGGTACTCCTCCTCGGGAGGGCTGTCCGCGCAGGCCCGGCCATTGTTGGGGGGCCGCACCGCGTGGTAGCGGCTGCAGTCCGCCTTACACGGGATCCAGAGCAGCGTGTCCACCTTGAAGTGAAGCTCGGGCGAGACGTCGGTGCTGACCAGGTCGGGGGCGCTGGCACCCTTGCCCCGGATCAGCAGCCGACTGCCCGCGTCGTAGCAGCAGTGCTGGACGGCCGGCGTGCTGCAGAGAGCACGAGCAGAAGTGGGCTGTGAGCCGGTACACGTCCAGGCGCTCGTGCGGCCGCTGGCGTCCCTCCAGCGGAAGCTGCGGCCCTGATGCTTGTCCCGCAGGCTCACGGCGCTGGACACGGCCTCCAGCGGGTACGCGCACGGACAGCTGGGCAGGGCCCGCAGCACCTGGCTTCAGGTACTTGACCAGGAAGTCACTCTTGCAGTTCAGCCACTTCTCACCACTGCCCATATCTGCAGAAGTCAGGCGAAGGGGGAGGAAAGAGGGACCGGTCAGCCCCTGGGTGGGGTGGAGGTGGCTCAAGGGCCATACAAAGGAGTGGCTGGGAGGCACCTTAGGGGTAGGCGGGGAGGGACCCACACCCGAGCCGGGGGCAGAACTACCTGGCCAACACGGTTGGGAGAGACCACACATCACCACCTAGGCGAGCTGAAGCAACAGATTATGACCGCATGGACAAGGGCCAAGGGGCTGGAGGAAGGGGCGGGCAAGCCCTGATGAGCTACCCTTTGTCGTTTTAGATGCTGGATGGTGGGAAAGATCCTGGGATCTCGGGGAACGAGCTGGGGCGGTAGGGGGGCAGGGACAGCTGTTTCAGCCGCCTGGTAAAATGTTTCCCTGTTTTAACCACTCTCACTGGCCCATTCTTGTTCTTAACCTCACCTTTCTCAGGCTCACTCTATCCTTCTGGGCCCCCAGCGGCCCCTCTGTCTATGCCGCCCTCCTCCCCTCTCCCTCTGTTGGGAAATGTGGCCTCTCTGACCGCACAGAACAAACTGCTCCTTCCTTTTTGCTCCTGACCGTTGGGGCCCACTTGGCAGTGCTGGGCCTGTGTGTCTTTCCCTCTAAGACCCTTGAGGGCCGGGACCAGGCTTAGTCTTCTGGGAATCTCCCCTTCCAGGCTCAGCGAGCTTCTGCAGCATGGAGCACAGGAGTCAACTGCAGGGAGGCTGCTAGCAGCTGCCTGCCTCCTTGCGGGGTGCAGGTGAGCGCCAGAGACACAGATGGGGAGTGTGCTGGCGAAAGCGTGGCCTGCTCCTCGCTGCTGGAAAGGAGGGGTCCTGGACCTCTGCACCCTGGCCGGTTTTGATAGCACCTGCTCCCCAGACAGAGCCCGCCAGGAGCATCCAAGAGTGACCAGGGAGGGCAAGCCAGAAGGTCCCTGTCCTGTTCTGTTCCACTGGATGATCTCCCAAGCTCTGTGGCCCCCCTCAAGACCATCTTCCCAGCAGGAATATCAGGCTGGGAAAGGCCAGTGGGCCTGGTGAGGGGTGGAGCTCAGAAGTGCTATGGTCCCTTCCAGCTGGAAGATGTGCTCTGCATCCAGGAGGCACTATTCCTGCCGGTGCAGTGAAGTTCCACCCTTCCGAGAGAGGTTCTCCTCCAGACCCCCAGCAGGCAGGGCTAGCCCCCCACACTGACTTGGGCTGAGCATGTCCATAGCATCATGGGCCAGGGGCTGCCACCCCTCACTGGGGAGACCCAAGGGGTCCTTGTCCTCGGTGCCATGGGGAAGAGAGGAGGCCAGGCTGGTGGTGCCACAGGGCATGTCTGTGCCCCCGGTGGGCGCCAGCCCTCACTAGGCTCGCAGTGCCCGCAGCACCTGGGACGGGGCAGGACCACCATGTTTGTGAGCTTCCTGGCTCCCCTCTCCCGAGTCCACCCTGTGCAAGGCTCAGACACCCACACGCCCCGGGGACCAAGCCCCGGGCGCAAGCCACTCCCTCTGCAGGCGCTGGGGCTCATCTCACCAGGGCAGGGGGCAGGTCACAGGCGTGGGACTCGCAGAGTCCTTGCTGGCTGCGGCTGCCACAGCTCCCACTGCAGGGAGACCAGGGGCTCCACTCCTCCAGAAGATCATAGTCTGGGTCAAGGCAGGGAGTCAGGGGTGAGTGGGCCCACAAGGCGCCCTGGTGTGAATTAGCAAAAGGCACCCCCTTCCCCGGGAGAACACAGCCCTGGGGCCAGGACTCCCCTAGCAGATGAAGCAGGGGTTGAATTTCAGCTCCACTCACCTGCTCGGCTGGGTGCCCCTGTGCAGCAAACACCCGGGCAAATGCAGGAGGTGTCACAAACCCCAGCCACCCACTCCATGCCCACTCAGCAACACAGAGCAAAGCTACCTGGAGGCCACCTGATCACTGCTGGGGGGACCTTGGAAAAGCCCCCCTACATCTTTAAGCTACAGTTTTATGTCCATCAAAACCATAGTGATTTCCTGGCACTCGGGGTATTAAAGAATGTACCCGCTCCCCACGTTAGTGACCCAGTCCTGCTCTGAGGGACCTGAAATGCACCAGGGCTCTTAGTGGAAGCCCTGAAGTACTGAAGACACACGCCCGGCCCTCTCCTCATTTCCCAGGCAGGTCTGAACAGGCTGGCACCAAGTGATTAAGAAAAATCAATAGAAGAAATGTCAAAAATCATGAAAATTCTGCCTCTTAACTTACAGAACTCTGGTGAAACAGGGAAAGCCTGCTATGACTTAGTCTGAACCAATGATGAGACACTAGGGCTCTGGGAAGTAGAGCTGTAAGACTGTGAAACATGTCTGTACCCAGGGAAAACCGGAACTGCAATACACAAAAATAAAAATGCCTGTCATGGTGGGGGGGGGGGGGCAGGCTTCAGGTGATAATTTCTGAAGAGTCTGTGTTGTTGTTTTCTAAAATAATAATAGCCAATACTTTGTTTACTATGTACTTAGACTTTAAAAGCATTAACTCACGGCTCTCTACACTTAGTTCCATTGTAGTAAGGATTGTGCCCATCCCCACTTTGTAGAGGAAGGAACCAAGGCCCAGGGAGGTCAAGTAACTTGCCCAAGCTCACTCAACTGGTAAGCCACAGACCCCGGATTCAGACTCATATCGTCTGAAAATGAGGTCAGTTGTGAGCGGTGGGATTTATAATTATTTCTTAATTTGTTGGAAAACTGATAGATGTGAATAAATATATTATTAACAAATGCCTGTTTTGCTTAGGGGATCTCAGGGCTATTGTGAGAGTCAAATGTTTTTTTTAAAAAAACAAAGACTTTGCAAGCCTTGGGTGTTACTATTGAGCAGATGATGGCGTTGGTACAGGGCCTAAGCTTCAGACCTCCACAACCACCCCTGCCCAGGAAGCTGTCACTCTTATTTCCGCTCAGGATCTCCAGGGGCAGCAGCCAGGGAGGTCAAGATGAGGGTACTCACCATAGCGATCAGGCTCCTCGAAGGCCCAGTCTCCAGGGGACAGTGGGCCCTGCTCCCAGCCTCCTGCGGCCCCGCGGAAGCCCGGCTCGTGGTCACCTCCACCGTGCTCCTCACTGTCCTCCTCCTGGTCCTCACCCTCACTGTCCTCGGGAGGGTGGTCCTCTTCCTCTTCCTGCTCTTCCCCCAACCCGGGGCTCTGCCCTTGAGACGGGTCCTCCCTTCCTTGCCCTCCGAGCAGCCCCAGAATAGGGGCTGGAGGAGTTCCTCGGCGGGCAGCCAGCGGGGGGCGCCCTCGGACCAGCGATTGTTGGGCTCGGCCATCGGGTCCATGTCCAGCTCAGCCTGGGGCTCCACCGCCACCTCGATGGTCACCTGCAGAGGGACAGACACACCCGGCCACAGAGGGAGGGCTCAGAGTCAGACTCCAGGAAGGGAGATGACAAGTCTAGGGTCAGAGGGAGAGGTCCAACCCTTTCTCTAGACCAGCCTGTTCTTCTGGTCAACCTTCTTGGCCTCCCTGGGGCAACTGGGGTCAGAGCCTAAGCCCTGGCCTTGCATCAGGATTCGCGGGAGATTCCTGACGCCCTGACCTCACCCTAGACAGATTTAACTAGTGTGAGACAGGACCAGGTGTGATGGTTCTGACGTGTGCCAGGTTGGAGATCCACTCGTTTATGAGACGCTAGGTTTGAATTCTGGCTCCAGCAGCCCGCAGGCTGCCCAGCTTCCGGGGCCACCGACAGCCCTGAACCTCCATTTCCTCATTGTAGGGCCAGAGAATGAGACCAAGTGTAACAGCAGCCCGGGGAAGGGCTCTTGTTCACCACTTTTGCAGAGAAAATAAGTAACATGAAATCATTTATGTGAAAGTGAGCTTAAAAAACATCACTTTGGGGCTATTACGAAGAAATATGAGGTCAAAGGACAAATTTTTTGGGGGGGGACCAACAAAATATAAAGAAAAGGGAAATCACCCATATTCCGTTTCTGACAGGTAACATTTTGGTGATTAACACTCCAAGTTTAGATATACAGATACACATACACACACACTTTTAAACAACTTTAGAGTGTGTTTTATATTTTTGTGGTCTTTTTTCTCTTTCAGTGAAAGTGTTTTGTAAGCTGTAGATGCAGGAATACACAAAATGCAGGAATTATTAGAGATTCAGGGCTGACAGTGAAGACTGTAAGGCTGGAATTCCACCAACCTCTCTAGTTTTCTCTCCCATAAAGCCCCTCTGGTGGGCAATCTACCCTATTCTTCTTCAGGGGCCTACAGCAAGGAGTGGGCCTGGGCAGGGAAGATCAGACCTTCAGGACTTTCTGCTTGGCCTCTGCCCGTATTTCAGGAACCCCCTGCAGCTCAAGAAACATTATCTGCTCATTTGGTCCTCATGACAGCCCTGCCAGATTGGTGCTGTTTGCCCCTTGCTATGGTCTAACCAGACATGATTAGTTAGCATCACCAACTCAATGGACATGAATTTGAGCAAACTCCAGGAGATAGTGGAGGACAGGGAAGCCTGGCATATGGTAGTCCATGGGGTTGCAAAGGGTCAGACACAGCTGAGCGACTGGACAACATGGTCTAGGCAATAGAGGCCGGGAGAGCCACGTGATGGTCTGCAGCTAAGAAGTGAGGAAGCCTGACTCCTCCTACTCCACAGGTGGGGCATGGGAGTCACCTTGTCTGACCCACACAGGACCCCCGTCCTCCACGGAATACAGGATGAGATGCCTGACTTCAGAGCTGAGCTGTTGAGCCTAACTTCTCTCCAGAAATCCTCTAGGTTCATGGCCGCCCCTGTAGCCCTCAACTGGATGTTGGGGTTCAGGGCACTCAAGTCTGTATTGGCCAATCCCAGCAATTTCTGCAGCTCCAGCAGCAAGGGAGTGCCCTCCAGGGTCCCGGGTGAGGGCGTCTTGTCTAGGACCAGGGGTGCTGATTCAGGGAGCGCCCGATGTTTGTGTTGACATGGCCCTGCCTGGAGGTGGGCCCTGGAGAGCAAGAGGGGTCTCCTCCTCTTTTCTGGGAGAGCTAGGATCTGGGGAGGCCAAGACCTGAGGGACAGAGGGGTGGGGAGGTGCCTGAGGTCAAGGCCCGTGTGGACCTGGAAAAGGCTGGGAGGGGGTGGGGAGCAGGGGGGAGGCAGGAGGTCTGGGGGCAGACCAGGTCACACACTCACCTTGTGACCATGCACCCAAACATGTCTGTTTGGGGACTTCCCTGGTGGTCCAGTGGTAGAGAATCTGTGTTCCAGTGCAGGGGACACGGGTTTGATCCCTAGTCGGGGAGCTGAGATCCCACATGCTGTGGGTCAACTAAGGAACAGCCCGAGCACCACCGCCAAGACACAGCACAGCCAAATAATAAACTCATTAAAGCCAAACACATCTGTTTTGACACCTCAGAGGGTGGACGATGCCCTCAAAGCGCTCGGGTGATATAATGCCGACATGAGGCATGAGGAGGAGGGCTCAAATCAGGTTTCTACACACGGAAGAGACACGATCCCACCCCCTCATCCACAGATGGAAGAAACGGTGGCCTGGCGGGGAAGGGAGGTGTTCAAGGCAGCAACTCCAAAGTCCAGTTCTCAGACACTTGCCTCAGAATCCCCCAGAGCCCTCGTCAGAGAACAGATGCTCCGGCCCTCCCAGGTCAGGGCAGGGGGCTCAGAAAGCCTTGACGCGGGTGTGGGCAGCGGGCCCGGACCCTTCCCCTCCGACGCCCCCCTGCCACCTGGCCTTCCCAAGCCATCCGTGTGGGGGCTGTATTCCCTGGCATCCCTGACCACAGCTATACCTTCCTTTGCCTGCCCACCCGGGGCCCGGATTTCCAGGTCACGTGTGTGTCCATCTGTCTGCCAGCCAATTCCCTCCGCCGGCCAGTACCATGGGGTCCACAATGGGACTGTCCTTGTTGCAGCTCAAATAATGAGTTTAGAAAGCAGATCCTCTGCTCTTTGAGCAGAGTCTCTGGCTCTTTCTCTGGTGTTCTCTGCTCAGACTGGAACACCAGGAGCTCAGCACCTACCTCCAGACTGCAGCCCCGTTGCCCAGGTCCCTACACCAGGGCAGAACGAGCCTGTCCAACTCTGCCCCATGAGCTTCAGGGGCCGGGAGCCTCTGGGCCCTGCTTCACCCAGGCCACAGCCTTGACCCCGCCTCCCACTTCCTAGTCGGGCAGTGTGGTAGCACTGGAAAACACGGATCTGGAGAGTCAGATCAGCTTGGGTTCAAATCCCAGTTCTCCTTCTTACTAGCTCATTCAACCTGGTGATTTCAACAAAATGAGGACAATAATATCTGCCTGGAAGGACTTTCAGAATTTTATTTATCAAACACTTCCACAGCATCCACTGTGTGCCCAGCACTATTCTAAACACTTAACTGCTTGCTTCATCCTCCCAACAACCCTCAGACATCAGTGCTAGCTGTCATCTCCACTTTGATAATGCAAACTAAGGTGCCGAAAGGGCAAGTAACTTGCCTGGGGTGACACAGACATTTAGTGGGAGAACCAGGGTTTGAACCAGGCAGCCTGGGCCCAGAGCCCACGCTCTTAACCATCCAGCCCTACAGGTGAGAACACTGAGTCTACTGCACAAATCAGGGGCTGAATCAGTCTGATTTCTCAAGAAAGCAGATCCTCTGCTCTTTGAGCAGAGTCTCTGGCTCTTTCTCTGGTGTTCTCTGCTCAGACTGGAACACCAGGAGCTCAGCACCTACCTCCGGACTGCAGCCCCGTTGCCCAGGTCCCTACACCAGGGCAGAACGAGCCTGTCCAACTCTGCCCCATGAGCTTCAGGGGCCGGGAGCCTCTGGGCCCTGCTTCACCCAGGCCACAGCCTTGACCCCGCCTCCCACTTCCTAGTCGGGCAGTGTGGTAGCACTGGAAAACACGGATCTGGAGAGTCAGATCAGCTTGGGTTCAAATCCCAGTTCTCCTTCTTACTAGCTCATTCAACCTGGTGATTTCAACAAAATGAGGACAATAATATCTGCCTGGAAGGACTTTCAGAATTTTATTTATCAAACACTTCCACAGCATCCACTGTGTGCCCAGCACTATTCTAAACACTTAACTGCTTGCTTCATCCTCCCAACAACCCTCAGACATCAGTGCTAGCTGTCATCTCCACTTTGATAATGCAAACTAAGGTGCCGAAAGGGCAAGTAACTTGCCTGGGGTGACACAGACATTTAGTGGGAGAACCAGGGTTTGAACCAGGCAGCCTGGGCCCAGAGCCCACGCTCTTAACCATCCAGCCCTACAGGTGAGAACGCTGAGTCTACTGCACAAATCAGGGGCTGAATCAGTCTGATTTCTCATATCTCTCCCCTTTGACCACCTCCCTCTGTGGTCCCCAGATGCCTGGCTCCAAGGCTCCTGCCCTAAACACCTGGTCCCAAGGCAGCCCTGGGTCTGTCTTAACCGACGCTCGAAGTCTCCCTGAGTGAAAGTGTTCTGGTCCAGATAGCCAGGGTGGATGAGTAGAGGATGGACAGAGGAGTAGGGCAACAACCCAACACCTTCACTGGCCAGTCCTGGAGGCCTGGGGCCTCCCCAGATGATGGCTTCCTAGCAGTTCCCACCCATAATTCCTACCTGTCCCTGTGACTTTGCATGTAGTCGTTCCTGTCTGCAGCCTCTGAGCACAGAGAAGGGAGACTTGGGGGAGCAGGAGTTCAGGGTCTGCAGCCTTTCCAGCTGATTCAGATGGCTGAGCCTTGTGGGCATAAGCACCGGGTTTCGCCGTTTGGCAGTGATGTTGGTATTAATAGTTATCACAGGATGGAGTGCTACTGGCATCCACTGGGTAGAAGCGAGAGATCTTACAATGCATGTGGGTTGCCATTTCCTCCTCCAGGGAATTTTCCTGACCCAAGATCAAAGCCGCCTCTCCTGTGTCTCCTGCATTGCAGGCAGATTCTTTACCAATGAGCCACCGGAGAAGCCCTTTCACTTTCACAGCAAGGATGTTTCCAGCCTAGAATGTCCATAGTACTATAGTTAAGAAACCCTGCTCTGGAGGCTGCCGGGTCTGAAGCCCAGTGGTGGCCTGCTTTCTGACTTGTGGGACCCCGGCAGGTATGTAACCTCAGTGAGTGTCCTCATTGGTAAATGAAAACAGTGACGGGACAGAGCTGGTATCCAGCTGGCGTTCAAAGTGTCCATTTCCAGCCCTCCCCACCCTGGTGCCCCATCGGACCAGACGATGAGCAGAGCCCACAGGAAGCCCTGGCTCAGCTTCACAGCCATGCACCCTCCCTTTCTCCCTGGGAGTCTCCCGCCCTGTATCAGCCCCTGGGGAACTCCCCAGGGTGGAGGGGGATATCTGGACTTAGTCTGGGTTCCCTGAGAAGCCGACCCTGAGACAAAGCTTCAAGGGAAGTGGTTCCTTTGGAAGGTAATCCCTGGAGACCAAGAGTGAGTACAGGAAGGGAGGCGGCTAATAAAGAATGCTCCATGAAGCCAGTGACCACAGTGGACCACTAGGGTGCATCCCTCTGGGCCCCCCAGTTACCACATCAGTCACTGGTTGAGGGAGGCTGGGTGGGGGAGGAGATCTGCACTCCAGCCACGTCCACCTTGCCATGAACAGCTCAGAGCAGGTCCCAGTGCTGGCGAAAGCCCTCAGACAACGGGAAGTGAGGCCCGTGGGGAGGTGGGTAGAGCACCCGAGCATCGCCTGAGCACGTCTTCCACACCAGGCCGGGGCCGGGTCCTTTACATGCCTCCCGACACTTCCTCCAGCTAGTAAGTGTCAGCCCCGTGCAGGAAGAAATGTCTCTGCTTTGCTCACATGTATCTTGTGCTCAGTACGGTGCCTGGCACCCCGCAGGTGCTCAGTAAATCACTGCTGCGTGATTGAATGACCGCCAGCAACACTGAGGGGTGAGTGTGACTATCTCTGTGTTAATGATGGGGCTATGGAGGCTCAGAGAGGGCGAGGGATTTACATAAGATCCCGCAGGTTACACTAAGGGAGCTCGCGTTCACGTGCAGCTCTGCTGGATCTCAACGCCCGGGCATCAGTGCACACATGCTTATGCAGACGCTGAGGCCAATAACCCCTCAAAGGGCAACCACCTCAGCATGCAGAGCACCTCCGCTTTCACCTTCTTGTCTGGTCCCTGAACGTGGGGGTAACGAGTGCAGGCTGGAGGCCACATCGCCTGGCCTCAAACCCCAACTTGGACACTTACTGTGAGACCTTGGGCAGGTTACTTAATCTCCCAGAGTTGCTCTCCCTGTAAATTAGGGAAATGGCTGGCTGTCCCTATCTGTAGGATTGCAGGGTTAGAATGGCGCCTGGCACACGGCAAGCGTGCGGTGAATGTCACCGAGGGGAGGTGATAGATAGTTCTCGGAGAGAGAGAGAGAGAGAGGGCAGCACCCCTCTAGCCATCACAGTTAGCTCTTAATATCTTATTTGGTCTGAAGACCACATCTGCCACCCCACCACTGAGGCAGGATGACTGGGCAGTATACGTACCTCCAGGACAGTCTCAAGCAAATGCTGAGGATCCAGCCTGTGTAAGAACACCTGCTCTATCCCACAGGGCCATCTCCCACATCTGTTATGCTCAAATGTGGAGTTTTCTGTGTGTACAAATACACAACTCCATTCTTTCAGGGGGATGGTGCCATTACCCTGATAAACATGAGATACACAGGTATATACCAAGTTATAGCCCCACCATCCATTGCCCCCTCTCTCTATCACACACACGGCTCCATGCATACCCTCCCTGGCTTGGCAGGGCAGCCCTGACCGTGTTTCCAGCTAACACAAGAGCTGCCCCCCTCCACAAACCCTTACTGCCTTGCTTAAGCCTCCCTCACAGCCCCCCAGCCCCTCTCCTCTCCGGGGTCTGGAACTTGTTCCAGATAGTGAAACCCGGTTGCCAGGTGCAGCCCAGCACCCCACCTCCTCTAACTCCCTGCTCCTGAGGCCTAGGTGCACCCCTCCAGAGCCAGGCTGCACAGAGTCACCCCAGGTTCCCGGAGGTGCTGGGGTCCCAGCAGTCAACGGCCAGAGGACCACAGGCGGAGAGACAGGGCTGGACGTCACCCTCCTTGCTGGCGTGTGCTGTTCTAAGCCAGCCCACCCTGGGCCCGCTGTGGAGACCTCGGAGCACGCCCTCTAACACCAGGGCTGGCTTCAGGCTGTGTGACCTGTATACCTG